CTCGTTATTAAAGGGTTATTAAATAGCTCTATCTTTATTGTTGATTCCACGTTCTCTAGTAACTATTTAAAGTTATTGATATTTGGCTATAGTATCTAATTGGTTTTAAATAAAAATTTTTAATTCAATAAACTCTTTTCATATGTTACAGTATGGGAAACAGTGCTACCATATCTAATAGCAAAAATAATGAAGATAAATGGGTACAAGCTCTTACTGTAGCCACAAAGAAGCAAAATTCAAGTGGCGCTAACAATTTCTCAAAAAATAAAAATAATGTATGGGAAAAAGTAAAACACTACAAAATCGCTAATTCCATCCACAATTTGGAGCTAAGAGCCAATCGATCACCCTGGAAAGAAAAGCTAGCTTCGGCAGTAAGAGATGCAGATGCAGCAAGAAAGAAATGTTCCCAAAATAAAGTAAGATCTCGTAATGAGTTTAATTAAGTAGATGTGCATAGCATAATAAAATTAATCACTCTGTCACGAAACTATAATGTAATTAAAGAATTGATTATAATTATTAGTATTATAATAAACGGCTTTATTACATATTTGATAACAAACTACGATAAACCTTAGTTATTGAGTGTAACATTGTAAAATTGAGAGATTATGGATAGTAAATGTAAATTTATATTTAATGGTTGTAATCAAGTATAACTTTGACTTACTATATCATACACATAACTCAGTAGTTCTATATTAATAAATATAAAGTAGAAGTAGAAGCACAGTACGCAAAGTATCGCGAGTGAGAGTTCCACCAGTAATTAATGAGGATTAAAGACTCTAAGTCTCTAGCATGCTCCATGAAACCACGCTAATCAAATAAATTTGAACTCATACGTTGTAAGATGTAAATTAACATATAAATAGAGTTGAAATTTGGCGATCAAGTTATAGAAGCATAAATATTTCCAGTACTGTATCTGTCAGTATGAATAAAGCTCAAAAGAATAAGGGTGAAAGTCATAAATCTGCTATCATTTTAATTTAATTCATACCAATTAACATAATTATGTACTTGTCTTGTTATAAAGTTTAATATTTGTTGTTAGTTTTAGGTATGAATATCTATAAGTTTGAATATGTAAACCAATCTGACCTACTCTTCGCTCTTTATAAATAGTAATAAATGAAACTAAGTTGAAACAATGATTCAATTTATGCATACGAGTACGCGCATATAGTTAATAGTTAAATATCTTTTAAGATCTAATTATTAGGCTGATAATACATATTTACTCTAATTCATCTTACTTTAATTTCAACTTCCTTATTAACTTTAATGGACTGAGTTCGCTAGAAATGCACCTATAGGCAATAAATACTATGCCACTCTAAGTGTAAAAACTTCTTTAGTTTTTCTTGACGACTTATAATACGGCCTTGATTCGATTTCCTTCCCTAAAAGCGATTCAATTTGTGCATATATGCTATTAACGACTGAAAATATCATCTAATTGTAATAAGCTGCACAAGACTCATTCTTCATCTGCTTCATAATGTTATTGCAATCTTATAATTTAGAGACTCGAAAAAAGCTTTTATCATGCCATCCTCAAAGGTGATATTCCAGAGACGCAAGTTAAATCTATCCTTAATACCGACGTTTGGATCTTTATTAGTTCAACATTTACCGATACTAAAGTCGAACGTGATTTCTTTATCGACGATGTCTATCCTTATTTACGCCAATATTATCGTAAAGTTGGCTACTTTTTTAATGTCGTCGATTTACGTTGGGGAGTTCGTGAAGGAGCTACAGATGAACATGAAACGACAGACATATGCAATAGTGAGCTTGTACGATGCAGGTGATTTTGATAATTTAATTCTATGATTGCTAGATTTGACAAGTACTATTGATTGCTTCGGCTGAAGCTATATATAGTTCTTTGTGAAACAGTGAATATGAATAAATTGCGTCCATTTCAAATTCTTGTATTTTCCTTTCGAAAAATGTAAATTTTTCATCTATACAATAGAGATACTTCTGCTGGACCTTATTTTTTGGGGATTATTAGCCGTAAATATGGCTATCGGCCTTTTCCTTCTAAAATTAAACAAGCTTTATTTGAAAATATAGTTAAATATACTCAAGATTATTCTTCAAACAGTATTAGAGAAGTAAATCTTTTGAAGAAATGGTTCAAGCTAGATGAGTCTGCTCTTGAGCCAGAATATGTACTTCAACCTATCTCGAGCCATTATGCAGGCTATAATAAAGGTGTTAAATCAGATTGGGCTGCATGGAATGAAGATTTTAATCAAATGCAGAAGGTTTTTAGATCAGCTGCAAAAGCATGTGAAATGTCTGAAGATGATAGAAAACAGTTTTTTATATCTATCACTGAAAATGAAGTCCGTGGTGGCTTGCAAAGCGAAGATAGTCCAAATCGTCCTGGCAGATTTTACTTCAATCGTGCAATTACCAACTTAGATACTAGTAAATCAGAATCTAGGTTTTTTATTGATATGAATGATGGCAAAGTGGATACAGACGCAACTACACGACTACAGCAGTTAAAAGAATTTATCGACTTTAAATTACCAAGAGAACAAAAATATAGGTTAGAATGTAGACTAGTATTTCATTTATCAAATTGCTTACATTCATTGTATAAGTTACATTCAAGTGTGTTGTAAATTTTCAATTCTAGAAATAAACAAAACTTTCAATTTCTATACTTATGATTACGATGAAATTACTGCATAGCTGCAGCTTGATTTTAGCACTCAAATCGATTTCTTCAACTGTTTAGCCTCCATTTTAATACATGATAGCAAACATACAGCTTTAAAATTACTGCTTTGCTGCAATTTGTTAGATTAATTAAGCAGATTTCATTGATTTTGAAACTAGATACAACTAAATAACATAACTTGCTAATCTTACCTCCTCTATGTTATCCCTTTTTATGCGTAAAACAATAAAGTTACGAATTCACTTTGGACGAAGATACCGTTGCATTAAGCTATAAAACCAATAAAAAGGCCGTAATGGAATGTGCCGATAGATTTTGCGAATTTATGACTGATTCCATAATCAAATGTAAGTCGTCTATTTTAGTAACATTATTAGTAGTGCTATTCCAGTTATTGACAAACACTTGTGTAACTCAATTTAGAGCTATTTATTACTTCGCACTTCTTTACAATAAAAGCCTAACCGTGATAAATTAAGCAATAATTTGAAATTTTACGATAGCTATTTATGGAGATAATAACTGTACATATTTGCCTCCGAACAGAATTAATATCGCGACTTGCATTTAAAATTATCATAATAGCAGACGTATTTAATATTTCTGAATATTTTGCTGATAGACTAATCTTTATTGACTTATAATTTCTATTTATAACGTACATAGTTGCCGCTTCATCTATTAAAATCGAGGAAGGAATCTACACGGAAATCCTTAGGCATAGTATCTTTTGTCTTGAGCGTTCGAAATCATTTGTAGGTAGATCTGCATATACGAACAAGGTAAAGTGATAAAGTGGATATATTCTAATAAAAGAAAAGATTTTAAGGAAGAACTTACTGAGTAATTATTTTTTACGGGTATGTTTTGTGTTTAATAAAAACATTGGTCTAACAGATTCAGGAGTATTTGGGACGAAAATCCCCTAATGTGGTAAGTTTATTACTGAACCTAGTAATTCAGGTCTTAATGTTAAGCTACTGCAAAATGCTATATTGAAAGACAATTACGCTTTCCTATAATTTGAAATAGCCATTAGTTGTTCATGGCATTTCTGGCACTGGTAAAACTTCTATAATGGCTCATGTTTTCAGAGAATTTCTACAAACCCATAAAGAACCTGAATACAAGTAAGTGAATAGTAAAAGTTACGCTAAAGATAGAACTTGGAAAAAGTTAAGATTCAATACTTCTTTATATTATTAATATAGGGGTTTATGCTGCATTCGATGCATTGGTATAACACCAGCTTCATCAAATGTCCGAGAACTGTTATATAGTTTATGCCAGCAGGTAAGGTATAGGATAATGCAAACAGCAACCAATTGTGATTGTAAATTCGTTGCAGGATCTCTACAGAAATTTCGAAGCCAATAATGAATGATTAATTCGAGATTGCTTCTCTTTGCGACTTTATAGATTGCTATATTTTACAATAAAGATGTAAAATCAATACGAAAGGATTTCCGATCAGTGACTAAGAAATTCCATGATTTGCTTGTGATATGTCCAAGGTCTAATAAGCCTTTAGGTAATCTATTAATTACGATATCAGAAGTTCTGTTAGGCTTATGAATCGGAAGATGATTAGAGCATAGGATTATTTCAGCCTTTCATGTAAATCAATAATTATTCGTTGTAATCAAAACAGATCGCTTCTACTATTTCTACAGTTATATTTCTAGACTCTCTGGATCAATTAAATGACGAAGATGAAGCTCATTCTTTAGTTTGGCTCCCGCGAAATTTACCAGATAATGTTTACATTGTCCTTAGTGCCTTACCTGGCATTTGCTTACAAAGTCTAGATTTTCTATACCCTACTAAAGACTATTATGTTGAAGTAAGATCTTAGAAAGTCAATACGGCACATATTAGTTACACTGACTTGCTTTCCATGCTTAAATATAATTTATAAATAATTTTCCTTTATAATAATTATTGAATTCTGTAATTTTAATCATTTCGTTATAGATTCAAACCTTAAGTAAAGATGATACAACAGAAATTATTGAGTTTTTGCTAAAATCACTGGGCAGGTAAAGACTTGAAATTCGAACTGATTTATTTTAAGTAATTTTTGAAAGATGTAGTTATTCTGGTAAAGTACAATCAGCTTCTGTTAACTTAGATCATACTTGATGGCATCTGTATAGGAATATCGAATTCGATCGTTGCTGACAATGCTAATGTTGGAAGATCTCATTGTGTAATAACTGTAATCTAATTTAGGAAATTAACTACTGCACAAAGAAATTTCATTCTAAAGGCCTGTAGTACACCAACTCCATTATACCTTAAGCTTGCTTGCTCAGCAGCACAGCGATGGAAATCATATACACCTGAATCGGAAATGAAATTAGCTCCAACTCCTAGAGAAATTATTAAGCAGTTTTTTGAAAGGTACAATAGATAATATTGATGATATACAGTATCCTCCGTCGATGAGTAAACTTTATTGCTGTGGTGGGCGTTTTCCAGGTTAAATCAGGTTCATGGGACATTATTCGTCAAACGAGCTCTCGGCTACATAACGGCCAGTAAAAACGGTTTATCGTCCACAGAGTTAGAAGATTTACTTTCGTGCGATGAAGAAGCTTTAAGGGATGTCTTTCAGTTTCATATTCCTCCCTTAAGACGATTACCTACACTACTTTGGACGCGACTGCGTAATGATTTAGGTAAGATTTCTTCTTACCCTTTAAAACACGTATATATGTGTTTATTTATTTGTTGCAATCGTCATACAGTACCAGTATATTTGGATTGTATAAAACATGGCAATCGAATATTATATTTTCGAAGTTTCATATCATGATGTGGATCCGTTCTAATCATTTTTTTATCAGTAGCCTGTTCTTTGAAGGGGGTATAATCACAAATTGCATAGAAAGCTGGTCTTTAAATTTGTTGCTTAGCAATACATTTAGATCCGTACTAGATTAAAAATATAAATGAGAATCGCTTATTTTTTGAAATCTAGGTGATTATCTAGCTGAGAGAGGTGCAGATGGCGTGGTAGTCTATTCATGGTATCATCGACAATTTCGAGAGGTTGCTGAAGAATACTTTCTTGGCAATGTTGAATTTAAAGAGGAAATTCATGGGATGTTGGTTGATTATTTCATTGGAAGGTTAGTAGTCATCGAGAATGTAAATGCAAATAACGTATAAGTTGCTGTTTTGCCGCTTATTAAATCTCGTTAAGAGTAAGGGGTTGTCCTTTCGTATATCTTAATATTTAGTGTCTGTATTCAATAATGGTGATAATTTACGTCATTACTTTGAAGAGAAATTTTTTAGTCTATGTAATAAATGCTCCAAAACTTGTATCAAACATATTCAGAGAATTTAGGGGCTAAAACTCATACAGCGTTAAATAAATTAGTATTGGGCGTATGCTACCTGAAATTAAAGCCGCAGGAACTTATAATATTATTAAATACGAAGAATTTACAATTAATAATATACGCGTATATTGCTCTAAGTCAAGCCAATTTAGTATGGCGTTCATAACTTTAATTCAATTACCATTCCGCGCACTATTTGACGGCTCATTTAAGTATGATACAACAAGAAAATTACTGATAGAAACTTATAATAATTTTATATTTAGATGGTCAAATACGGCCAAACCATTTAAAAATGAAAAGACTGGCGAATTCTGTGTAGCATACCGAATGGTCCCGGAGCAACCAACGATATTTAGTGCTGAAGATGAAGATGAGGAAAGCGATAAAAAATCTCAAACTTTGCAGATAAAGTCGGCTACTGTGAATTATAATCATCGAAAATTAAGTGAATTAGCACATCATCTTATTGAATCTAAGCGCTGGAATGATGCAGAAAAGGTATAGGGATCCTACTGTTGATTTATTTTAATTTTATAGCGTAAAAAGTGCATTAATTTTATAATTAACAACCGCTTACTTAATTTAATTTTCCATAGATTATGTGCGATCTAGAATGGCTAGAAGCAAAATGCAGATCCGGCAGAGTCTTTGAATTATGCTTAGAATTATCTCAGGTTAATACTGCATTTTAGCGAAAACTAGCATTTAAAATATTTTGCCTAATTGCGCCTGAATTTAATTGACTATCAACTTCCTATTTATTACCAGGCTTCCTTGTTTGCTGGCGATAATCCAAAGCTCGATAATTGTTATAAATTTATCCGTTCATGCACGAATACACTGCAAGACCATCCTGATATGCTGATTCAAGAGGCTCTCAATCAGCCAGATGATTCCACTATTTTCAAACTAGCTGTGGTATGCATTTCATCCAAATTCTACACCAAGTAGATTCGATTTACTTTGAATAAATTGATACTCTCTAAGTTATAAATTGTATATGAGATTGCTCCGTATTTAATTTTTATATTTCTATGCTAGAACTATATGCGAAATAAAAGGCGGAAAGGTAAGCGTACTCTACCTGTAATAATTTTACGTTTTAATCGAATTACAATACACCGTTGTTAATGATAGTTTATATTATTATAGCTATTCTCTAGTGTAAATTCTAAAAAATTTAAATTTTCTTGAAGGCTAATGTAGTTCAGCCCCAAATATAGCTTACATTACGATCCAAGGTTGTACGAGAATAGTTTAAATTGTACGTTAGAGTGCAAGATTGTAGTAAATTAAAATTTATCCCAAGATCAGTTAATAAAATATTGCTGCCATTACTTCAGTACTTGTGCCTAGTATCTTAGGTTATAGTAGCTGTTGAACACTGATAGTTTTGTCTACAATGTTTATTTCTATTAAAATAGATCTCTTACAACTTGCGATGTCAATTATTTTTTATCTAATTATTTGCTATACATTTTAATGTATTTATAGAAAAGAATGATAAATTTAACATTCAGCGATATTATATTGATCAAGTTAAGTCGCAGACCATGTCAGCAGAAATAGCACTATTAGAACATCCTGAATCGACTTTATTCTGCCAATTTTCTGATGATTGTAAATATTTGGCAACATTTTGTCATGACAATATCTTAAGAGTATGGCAGGTAGGTTGAATGCGATAATACTTATTGAATACTTCACAAATAAAATCCTTTAATTATGCCTTGAAACTCGTAGCATTGCAATATATTATATTTTACTATCACCTCTATGATGTATCCTAATTAAAATTTCAGAGTTGAATAGCTGTATTACTGCATTTTAATAATTTTGGATACATACGCGTATGTGTGAATATGTAGGTTGTAAGTGGATCATTACTAATGAAAATCAAGCATCCAAGCATTAAAACAGTTGCTTTTCCACCTCATTGTGACTGGATAACTGCATGGGATACGGATGAAATTATCATTTTTGGATTAAATAGAGAATCAGAGGGTCTGTTTAGAGGCTCTTCATTCTAAATGTACCAATATCACTGAGTTTATTAAAAATATTAACATTGTTAAATGATTTATCTCCGTAACTTGGCCATAATTATTATTATTGTATCTATTTTTAGGTCAAATAATTAAAAGAATTCCCTGTGCCTTTACCCAAGCATCGCAGATATTCATATCCGGTAAAACAAGTGCACAAGTAAGTTTTAATATTGAAAATAATGCTTGAATGGTTGTTAGTAATACTAAAGACGTCCGCTACCACTTTTGCTTAGCCGAGATACTAGTCAATTTCATTATCGTTATTGTTGCAGACCAGAATATCACTAATAGAGAAGAATACCTTAAAAGTATTCAATCCAAATAGCGGGAAAGTAGTAGAAAAGAAAGATTTACAGGTAATACTATTTTCATATAGAGATAAAATTGTTGTGGTTTGAAGTTCTTAAGTAGAGTTCTTAATCCTTTTTATCTGCTCTATAGTTTCGGCCGAAGTCAAGTTGCTTCTCTCACGACGGAAAGACATTAGCTATTATAACCAATAAAGTATTTCTATATAGTTTGTCTAAATTTAAGGTTAGCAGTATTAAATTCTGGTAGTAAATTGCGCATTTAATGTCGATAATCAAACTTTACCTCCTTTACTATCATTATCCACGATCAGATAATGTAATTTAATGATTTTTCAATTTATTAATAAATTTTGATAGGAAATTAGGAAGTTAGCGACAGATAAGCTGTATGATAGTGAAGCTACAAACGCAGTTATTCGATTATCGAGAGATTCCAAAAGAGTTGCAGCTGTCTTACCGGACGGAACTTACATTTGGCATGTTAGTAATGGTAAGTTTATTCTACTACGGTATTGGTAGTTTTAAAATTATTATAGTTCTCACAATATCAAGGTTTTGCTTCAAATGTACTGATAAATTTAAAGCAATTAATTACAACACTATTTTATGATCAGATTTTGCTAAAATTGTCATATCATACATTTTTTAAAGGGAAACGTATTGGTCAAAAGTTGACCTTAAATTGCGCTAGCGATCATCGATTTATTTCTTTCTCGTTAAATTTGGATTATATTGCCACTCCAAATCGCACCAATAGCCGAGAACTGCAAGTAAGCAGCTAAACCTTAATTGTCTTTTTATAACTAAGATTTACCTTCTTAAATCTACACTATTAATAGATTATTTTATAACCTCTGAAATTAGCTTGAAAATTAGTTTAACGCTTAATTCTCTCCTATTTATCAATTACATAATCAATATTTTCTATCGTAATGAATAAGATCAATGTTCAAGCCTACTTTTAAAGCATGCTTTTATGTCATTCATTGTCTCTGCTATAGCTTATCATCCTCAATAAGCAAAATAGTATAAGTAGAGCTGCTTTAAAAGGTCATGCCATGGAGATTACTTCTTGTGCAATTGTTTATGACCCTGGCAATATTGAATCGACCGTATTAGCAACATCTTCAAAGGATGGCTCAGTAAGGCTATGGGATGGTAGTTGTATTGTGCCTACCAGTGCTGAAGAATTTAAGCAGCCCGTATGTCGACATTACTAATTTCTTTCAACTTGAATCTACCTTATCCGACATTATGTTTAAAGCGTAAATAGACTCCTATCGAACAGCTTTAACTTAATGTTCATTGATGTGCCTATTTTGTGCCAATTTAGGTGCATAAAAATTCAGTGGAACGCTGTCTATTATCGCACAAAGGCAATATACTTGTTACAAGCACTCGCGATCAGCATCTATGGCTATGGGAAACGCAGCCGCCTAAGCTGAAGGCATCATTAATTGCCGATACTAATTCAGGTAACAAATATGAATAACGGCATTGCAGGATTAACTTTCTAAAGTTATTATTTGAGGATGGCTAGTAGGATTTCAGCTAAATATGAGCTTTAATGACATTGATAGAAGGGCATGTAACATTAGGCTTGAGATAAATCGTTATCTTATTTAATAATCAAGCTTTGATTTCTGTTCTGTTTTATTAGAAATTGTACTGCCTGTATGCTATTCTCCAAAGGATGATTTCTTAGCGGGTATATCAGATGATGGTATAGAAATCTGGTTGATTACCTCATTGCGCGAAGATACCTCTAGAAGTAAACATTGGTCAGTAATAACATGATTAAATTGAAGTTTGCCTTGTTGTAGCGCCTAATTCTAATCACTTACATAAATTTAATTGTAATGAAATGATTTAGCTTACATAATGTTTTAAAATTGATTAATTTTATGGTTTTTTCGTTGAATAGCATATTGCCATATGCTGGAAGAAAGCATCTATGGACCGTTTTCAATCGTTTAGGATTGTGTACAATTTTTATCCGTGAATCTCTACCAAATGTGGTTATCGCAGCTGTACTTGCTGACAATGCGGTCTTAGGAGAATGGACATTATCGAGGACACCTCCAAATTTTCCAGAACCTAGTACCGTTGAATTTAGACATGAAATCACTGACAAGGTATGTTCTGCATATACAAATAAAGTTACAGTATAATATTCAAACACTTCTAATTTTATGAAGTGGCAGTAATTTGTCTTATTTCGTACATAACAGTTTGTAAAATTTATCTAGCCGTTAATGTAATGAATAAATCTTTAATTATACTTCATATGATACATTTTTAAAGGTCATAGCAGCTACATTATCAGATAACTGTAGTCAACTAGCAACAATTCATGTCCATTCGACAAGTGATAACGTTGCCGGTTGGTTGTATGGAGTTCCTCAAATTACCACTTGGGATTACAAAACTCAACGTAAACTGAAAACAATTTCAACCGATAAACGCTGCCTGACGAAGCATCATTTCATCACTTTAGTTAATACCCAACCCGTAATTTATTGGCAAAATTCGACTACAGCAGATGTAACGTCATTTAAAGAGGAAAAAATATCTGAAGGAGTCGTTCATGCAGTTAGTCTAACCGGTAGATTACAACATAAACGGACCCTACCCGGTATCTATAGCAAAGTCTGGCGAGGTTCCGGCTTTCTAGCCAATAATATATCCTTAATGGGATGGATGCTTGGAGGTGTCAGCAATCGAGCACTGCAGGTAATTAATCTAATATCAAGAAAATCTATTGGCAAAGCATCTATTCACGGAACAGATATTACTTGCTTCGATATGAGCGAAGATGGTAGCCAGATTTCTGTAGGATGCAGCAATGGGGAAGTGCATTTTCTAGCTGCAGTTAATCCAGAGAAGCTAAAATCCAAGAGCGAGAGTAGCGCAGAGCTTATTCATAGCCTTAACCAAGATATTGCGGCAATTGATGTTAATATGTAAAAATAACTGCAATAACTACTGATCTAGGTGGCATCATTGAATAATCGTAGTCAGATCTCTATTTTTAAACGATATCAATTAGCAAGAATTCAATTATACACATGCGATTTTGAAGATCAAGCTAATGGAAATGTAGCACATCTTTGTTGGTAACTTAATTTGTTAGGATAACGACATAATTTCGTAATAACTCTATTCAGATCTTAGACTAACTATTTTTATCATTATCACTACAGACACATTAGTAATTGTAATACTATCCACGCCGTTCGGAAAGCAACTAATATATTTCTACTATTCAACAAATTTTATACAACTCGATAAGTACAGAGATAAATAAAATAATTTAGGTTTTTGTCTTCATCTCTGTGGTGAAGAATGTCATTTTGATATCATGTATTATTAATGAACAACAGTTTATGTTTAATTGAGTCTAGAAAAATAACCCTGTGGCACTGGCAACATAGCATTAATCGGTTATCGTTGTTCAATAGTGGTCATTTTTTAGCTACTAATATCAACATTTGAGAGCTCAGCAATATGAATTTTTACACGAATAAATTTTCAGCTTTATGAAAGAAATTTTCTCATCGTAAGGAATAAAATACTTCTGATTAGAATGTGTACCAATATCAAGCCATTTCAGCAAACATCAATACAGAGATTAATTTTTTAGAAACAAATATAATTAAAATATTAAAAAAATTAGATTATCAGGCTTAGAGAAATGACATCCTATTAAGAATAACTCGTCAGCTACTTATGTACCTTATATGCAAGGTAGACAAGTACCTCTCTTTTACTTAAAGTAACACATTTGATCATTAATACTTCAGTAAGCTCATCAAGTATAATATTGAGGAAAGTTTACGCAGTAAAGATTTCCGATAGTTAAATTAATCCTTTTGTACAACACATTTGGTGCAGGGTTTCATGAATTACTGAGTAAATTTATGGATATTACGCATTGTGTCAATAAATTAGACAATCGTAGGTGGATAGGGAATCATTTGTTAGACTGGATCAACATAAGTAGCTCTTCTTTGGTAGTCTTATAATTGGTATCCATCCAATGCTTTTTCAGCATATCCAGGGTTCTTTTAAATTGAGGTCCAGGCTTATGACCTAAAGATTTTAAGTCATTACCACCTATAGGAAATTTGGGAATTACCCAATTATTAATATCATCCACTAATTGTGAATGACCATTGTAATACATTAGTTGAATGATATGATCTCTGGACATGGTTTCTTTGTCAAATAGTAAGTCTTGATATTGCTTAAGTATCGTATAGTGATTTTGTCTCTTGCCAGTTATAAACTTCATCAAAAATCGTTCCACGTTCGATAACTTCCACGTCCTAGCTAGCGCTTCAGCGCTTGATACAGAATTCACCAAGCTTGCGAGTAAGACAGCAGGTTGGGGCTTATAATTTCGCATTCGATCCCATATCGCTTGAAATTCTTCAACATTACCGTCTTTTGGTAAATCTGTGATTGACAATTACTAAAGTTAAAGTTAAAATTGATAAATCCTTGCACTATATGCTATATGTTATATAACGATAACACTCTATCATAGAGTTCAGTTCTTAGTCAAGGACATCTTTCATGCTATAGTATAGCTATCAAATATGATAACATTGGTTGATATACTGTATTGAATGGCTTACTGATATGTGAAGCGACACCGAGATCATACATGAGACGTAGGAGATCGGGGGCAAAATTTCCGACTAATATTTTCGACATCTCCATCCAAATCCGCTCCGAAGCGATTTTCTCGAGTCCAGCAGCTGTATGACGAATTTCTTGCAGAATATCAGGATCATGACTGTCGGCATTAGCAGCTATTCGACCATAGAAACGAAAATAACGTAAAATGCGAAGATAATCTTCTTGTATCCTTTTCCTGGTATTACCTACAAAAATTATTCGCCTATTGATAAGATCTTCTCGTCCATTAAAGTAATCAAATAAAGTGCCATCAATGGATAGAGACATGGCATTGATAGTTAAATCCCTTCTTTCAGCATCAATTCTCCAATCATTAGTAAATTGTACCTTGGATTGGGAGTAAATTTTGAATGTTATTATGATGTTTTGTTGATGCTTTATTCTTCAATATGGCATATTTGAAGTAAATGTAAAGTACTTACTTGTGCATGACGCCCATCTGTTATTGCGTCTATCCTTAAAGTAGTAATTTCAAAAATAGCTTTATTAATAATAACCGTGATGGTTCCATGTTGTAATCCTGTTTCCACATATTTGATTTCATTTTTTTTCAAGATTTCAATCATTTGATCAGGAGTTGCATCGGTTGCTAAATTAAATGAATACACCATAAGAGTCATGATATAATTACTGATAGCTCAGTAGGAAATAATTTTGATTTGGCTTGATGATTGCTACACTCCTACTCTTGATGGTACATTAACGTCTAACAAAACGTTGGATTATTCAAATTGTATGGAATTCATATGAACTGTATTCAGCAATGTCATTCAAATTATATCTTGATCAATCTGAATTTAATGTACCATTATGAAAGTGTAAAGATCACTGCAGTATTGAATGGCTTGCCCTACCTAAGTCGATATCTTTGGCAACCTTATCCAAGAGCACATCCCTAACAACTCCTCCTACTAATCTGATTTGATAATTATTTTCTTGGAAAAGTTGGATGACTCGTTTTAACTCATCGGTTATGATAGCCCTGAAATTGGGTGTATCTACTTGGATCGACATTGATCTCTGTAGAGATGCTAATGGTTGGAAAGTTCTACAAGCAGATGTGTAATAAGGAGAATTTTGATTCAAAGTTATCCTTGGCAATCGAGTCAAGATCAAGCGCGATATCAATCCGATCATGTCCAGGAAGCTAAAGTCTTCTTGATGCCAAGATCCGAGCCAATCAATGTCTTGATACGTTAAATAGGTTTAGTACGCATACACTAAAACGTCCAATAGTGAAATCATAATCTCAGCGTCTAATCGCTAGGTTACGTTATTCCAACAAGGGCTGTTTGGGTCAATGTATAAGTTGGTAATGAACTTCTGAGTGTATTTCAATGCTGAAGACTTGTGTATGAACATATATCTTACTCTGTGTATGCAGAACATTTACCGTACAGTACAGTACTGTGCGTACACTATAGACTGTAGACTGTACACTGTACAGTCTAAGGTACAGTACAGTGCAGTAGTACTGTTATACTGTATACTGTACTGTACCGTACAGTAGATCATAACGGTTTAAACCGAACCTTTCTCAGGTCTGTACACTGTACTGTACGTACAGTAGAGCAACTTAATAATTTCAGTACAGTATTTGGTAACAGAATACAGTAGAAAGTACTGTATAAGTGTACTGTACTGTACTGTACTGTACAGTATGTACTGTATAGTGTATAGTATTCATCTTCCTTAGTTTGCTCACTTTTGCGCAATGAAAGAAATACGCATGTGCATTTCGCGGGGAGCTGAAGCAGCACCTAGAAAGAAATACGCAGGTGCATTCCGCCAGGAGCTGAAGTAGCAACTTCTATTCTCTTATGATTGGTTTCGTTTGTTAATGAAGTAGTTAATTTCCTCCCATCTCTAAAGCTACTTCAGAGATTTTTTCCAAGGTGACAATACAACTCAGACTATAAAGTTACTGTAACTAGTGTAGGAACTATCCTACTGGGATAATGATTAATTAGAATCATTTATCAAATTATACGTCATTGAGGGGATAGCTACTTCAATAACAACTAACCATAAATCGCCAATAACGTAGTTTGGAACGTGAACAATGCGTTCATAGTAGAATTAATAAATATCTATATAGGAGTATGGAAACGTAAAAAAAGGTATTCAGAATTTGCTATATTTTTAATTAAATTTGCACTATAGATTATCCTCAAATAGAATCATTCAATTTTGCACATATACCAGTACGGCGCAGATTGACTTACTACATGTAGTACTTTGTGCTTACTGTGGCTATTAATTTCGATCAATAATTCAAGAAATACATAAAGTAAATCTTTGGTTTACCAACATCAAGGTAAAAGGTTTTTAGAACGATTTAAAATTGGATAGAAGAATAGTATACTGACTATTACCTTAACAACTGAATTGAGTAAACTAAGGGAATTTTACGATCCTGACACTGTAGATTTGATGAACTGGATTAAGTTCGCACAGAAGTTGTAATAAGTGATTGCCTTTATTATTAAGGATTAATATTAATTAGTATTGTTAAGCTATATATTATAAAACTAACAAGATTCACAGCTATTTTATTATCTTTACACTTATTAGTTTATTTAGTTATACAATATGCCTACTCACAGGCTATTATTAGGATCGAATCAAAAACGTTCTATTTTTAATGTTAACGGTAATAGTATTGGGAAGGAAACCTCCTTTGCTAGTAGTATGCAACTTCTTGCGGGGGTGAAGTGCTGCACTGGTAGGCATGTTACCAATCATCCTCATTACGAAGAAAAATGGTTAACAGAAAGGACTACGAAGGTAATTGCGATCTTATTGGAAATGAAAACGCGCGTAGAAGAGAGATCGAACATAGCCATGGAATGAATACTGAATGAAATGGATTAAGCACTTATGTTAAATACAGTACTAATTTAGTACTGAACTATTATTTTACTTTTAGATCAATTCTACTCTCGTTTATCAGCTCGTGAAGTCTACGAAATTATACAAAGCACTAGAGCTCATTATATCATTATTGAAAACAGTATCTGCTACTCTTCATCCGTATCTGGCTGCAGGGTTATTGATCTTATTGATATGCACAACGGCCTTTGGTACAGTGTGAATATGACACGTTTAGAGTTTATCGGGTCACATAAATATCAATTTCAATACATCTATCTCTTTGGCGCACTACGGCATTTACACTTATTCAGAAATAGACTTAGAATAAGAATAAGGATAAAATTTAAACAATTATAGACTGATAGACTACTTATAAGACATCACAGAAATTTAAATAAATATCCAAAATTCTGAAATTGTGACAATTCCGATATCCTTATTTTTCAGATCATTTTGGTCATTGCCTCTCAAATGATAGCATTAATGTCGACAGTTCAGAATTACTCTTATGTTTATTTTTATTTTAGCCTTATTCTTTGTGATTCCTCCTATAAAATTAATTTTTCATCTGTTGACCTATAATTATGGTACAATTGAAGGCTAATAACATTAGCCTTTTCTTGACTCTTTTTATCAATGCCTTTACACTTACATTACTTCCATAACCGGCAAATTCAGTAGATAAAAGTCAACAGTTGCAATAATTTAGTATACTGATACATCATACTGGTCAAATCTATCCAAAAATTGTTTTATTTTACAAATGAATTTGATATTGGTTGAGTGCAGCAACATTAACGATACCTTGAAAGAATATAATACGTAAGATAATCGATACAAAAAAATGAAATACACATTTGCGTATCAATCTAACGATCGGTAGGGCTTCCTATTGAAGATAGTTATTATATAATGGACAGTACTTAGAACTACTTCCAATATAATGTAAGAATAAAAGAGAGATGTAGATTCATATACAAATGAACATGGAGATATCAAGATCAGTTAATATGCTATAATGCAACCTAACTTTTGAAGTAAAATTCCACATTATTTTACAATCTTATGCAGAGAACTTTGGTGTAATTGTATCTGAATGCATTTTTTTGCATAAAGGCACAGCAGACTGCAAGTTAACAAAGAGAATAATTTCATATCATTGCCAGCGCTCTATCCTAGGCAAATATGGTACAATACTCTGTTGTGTAGAATTATAATTTCACTCGCATACCGTACGTGCACGGTTAAATATTCATTACAAATTATTCAATCAACATAATTTTGATAGTAGATCTCGCATATCCCGTGCTCTTTTTATAGCCAATGTTATACATTCATTTAATTCGGCGTCATTTACGCCACGTCCACCTAAGATAACGCGATAAAACATACACAAGCTATTCCTATGGCATACTTGTACCTTAATAATTATTGTCTTAAGTCAGAAACTAAACCTGGTTTTAGAACGTTAGATAATCCATCATCATTATTAACTGTAATGGTGAGGTAGCCGCTGGATAAATTTTCTTCTTCGGAAGTCGGATCCGCTAGTATTAAATTTCTACAGTTGCAAATGAAGATCATGTTATTTGCGATAAAACTGCAGCAGTCCAGTAAAGACAGACATACTTATCAAATAATACAAATGTGGAAGAGATAGGACAGTCGTTAACATTTAGAGAAAATGATTCATCTTTCGAGACAATTGGTTTATCAACTTCTTCATCAATTTCTACTTTCGGAAACTTAGCTATAGAAGATTCATGGTAGTTAATTGAGTATATAGACACACTTTGAAAACGGTATCAAGATAGAGTAGAAAATAGCGCAAAAGTACCACTTCGCAAGGCAGCCAACATTGCAATAACACTAGCATCTAGTACATTTCCATCGCAGTCCAGGCATAGTAAATCAATATAAATGACCCACGCGAGCTGAGAAATGAAGGAAATAGTTGTAACCAAATTTTTGCAAAGTTGATGGGTAAATTTTGGTAAAAAGTACGTGCACTATGATTACCTTCTCTTTAACAATACATAAATCCTTCAGATTGATCAAGTTACAGCTATAAATGAGAATTTTAAAAATGCAATTACTACAGTAGTCAATAATAGAGAAGTTAAAGAATAGATGCCATACGACAAAGAACCTTTTGATTATGTCTGCTAAATATTGGCTGCATACTTGAGCTTGTTCCCCTGGAGGCCCGGGACGAAATCGATAAGAGCATAATGGGGGCAAGTCTACATTTGGAACTGAATGGAAACAACCAATAACAATGTATATTAGTAGAAAGCAGACACTGTATACCGTAACTCTGATGTATATCCTCAATCAAATGAACACACCAATGTAGCCATGGTCAGGACTATCTAACTTCGGGACCGCAAATTCCTACATTAATTCAAAAACATTATCAAAAAACTGTCTTTGCAAAGCTATCGTTACGAAGTTTATCCAGTTTACGAATTAGCTTAGTATCGCTTATTATAATGATAAAATAGTGATGAGCAACTTACAGTCTTTATACCACATAGCATAGTGGTGTTACCAATTTTAACTAATGCGGATCCGTTAGCAGTAGTAATCGACCCTTTACCAACAAAGTAGATTATAATGATTCATTTAGCAGGCGTGACTATTCCTAGATTGTGATTTTAGGTATACTTCGAAAAGTATGAACATACATATACGAACATGAGAGTAAAGATATACACTATTTCCATATCACTAAACTGAGACCAATTAGGCAAAAAGCATAAACAGAGGTAGAGTATAGACTAACTACAATGTCTGCAAAATATGCAGTTATTGTTAACCAATAAAACAGTGTCCTATCGTACCTTTGCTTTTATTAGAATTAGGGTATTTGAGCTAATTTTTATTTATTGATTCATAACCACTAGACTCACCAACATTGACTGTTGTTTTTCGAAATTGCTTAAACGTCCTGCGATCAGGTCTGATATTTTCAGCCTAGAAGAGAGGAATAAATTACTCATTACGTGCCATCCTTGGCAGCGATACGAACTTATTTTGAACCTCAATGTGCAATATGTCGATCGAGGCCATTTTTAACTATAATGGGCTTACAATAAATCTGTCGTAGAATTCCTTAGGCCTCAACGTTCTAAAATTGATGATCAATAAAGGTAATAAGCATGATTAAAGTGATGATCAGTATAGCAAGTATTAAGTTATTGTGTCAAGCATACTTGAATTGCAAAGCCATGTTCTATCTTGTTTCCTCCTTCAATTTCTGTAACGATGTAATCTCGAATTAATCTTGAATCTTTATAGGTCCAATTATGTACAGTTGGGTACGCATACGCATAAACAGTTTATGATGCAGTGCGGACAAGAAGAGATAATTTAATAGCTGTAATTGAGCGTTTTAGCCAATTTATAAATGGAGCTTAAGTTAGTTGGAGTTTGCTGTGCGCTCTACACTACAGTATGCAAAGTATGAAAATATCCTTATAATGCAGCAACAGTATATCAATCTTGAATCACCATCGGTTAGAGATGTTTGCAAAATCTCCAATTTTAATAGCTATGAGTACATTAAATGGTAATCGGGTTGCAATTTCGGAGCAGAAGCACCGAGCAGTGCAGTACAGTACAGTACAGTATAGTACAGTACAGTACAGTACAATGTTGTACTGTGCACTGTAGCACTGTACTGTACAGTACTGTACTGTACTGTACTGTCGGTGGCTACGGTACACAAGTAGTCTATTGCAAGACTATATTGCGCTATACTGTAGGACTGCGTCATGGACTTTTACCCACTTTAACTCTCTCAATCAGGCGCGGCTTGGCATGATCTAAGTGTGGTAGCGGCTAGTAAAATCTCTCACTATCTTCGACTAATCCTGATGCTCTTCATTTCTACAAGATTATTTCTAATGAATAACCGAATAAGAGGCCTTGGATTCTAGTTACTGATCCATCTTTTGCAGCATGAGTAAATCAATTATTAGTGGATCGTCCGTGAAAATCAACGCTGCTTCGGTGAGACTTATTCCCTACTAATGATCTACAGTAATTTCAGTCTTGCTTAGGCTTTAGGCTACCCATTTGTTGTGATTGCTTGTACTGGATGTGTGTTTAGCCTGTTGATGGAAATGGACTAACATCGCCATGCTCTTGATCTGATCAGATTGTTGAATTAAAAGCTGAATTATATAAAAAGCAGCAAGAATTTCAGAAGCAGAAATTAAGTGGTACTTCAGCTTTTGAATCATCCGCTCAAAATGATGTAGGTTATCTTTTCACACTGATATTAAGCTTGATATAGGATAATGTTATTGAGAGAGAATGACAAATCATTTCTACTGTAGGTTGGGAAAAAGCCCAAATGGATGACACTTAGTCAGCGCACTAAAGTCAAGAAGAAACCAGCAGCCGTAATGCCACCTAGATCAAATGAACCTGAAAGGAATGACGAGGAAGAAAATACCATTCGTAAATCAAAGTAATTTTCATTTTTAGTCATAGTTGTATGTTTACTTGGATTATATAGGTATCGATACAACTGTATTTACATATATCTATATACTCGTATGTGCGTAATGATCATATTCGAGATGAGAGTTTTAATCATTTTGGTAGTAGCCATGCAAATGCTTCCACTAGTACGGTGCTATTTACATATACTGCATTAGTTCTATATCGTCATCTGTAGCCTTATCATCGCAAGTTGTAAATCATCGACGGAAAACGTTAGGGTTATATTCGCAATTTATAGCATGAGCTCTTACTGCTTCGCTACAGTAATCTCCTTATTCTGATATGCTTCATCCAATATATTAGAGCTGCCTTGGAAAGAAAGGCTGCGCTATATGAAAAGTTGAAAAGTGGTCATGCAGATTTTGGTAAGCTATTTACGTTGACTAGTATTCCATCCATGGAATAGTACTATCATTTTTTCAAGTCGATTCCCATATTGAATTGATAGAATAGGTATTGACTACACTTGCTCTGATATATTTTATGAATATGAATCAATCGTAGTAGACGATGAGACTGATACTCCTTACTTGGTCGACTTTGAAAGGAAGTACTATAATGAGGTTACAGAGGCTTAACGAATTCGCATTGGTTCTAATTAATTAGATGAAACTATTATGCGTTACACCTGCCGTTACTCGAGATCTAAATATTTCTTTATAACATTCTTTATAAGATGGATGAAAAAGTCGCAGAAAATGAGGCCCTTCGAGAAAGTACGCCTCCACCCGCTAAGCCCGATGAAGAATGGTAAAGTTGCATAACTATTGTTCACTAAAGATGATTAAAGTTACTACGGAATAATTCACCTACAGTTATTGCATAATAATACAAAATTTTAGATAGTTGATAATAATAATTGATGAAAATCATATGCAACTTTGACTTATGTTATTCTTGCTGATTAGGGTCGAATTTGTGGATAGCCTTGGCAGATCAAGAAAGTGTATGAAGAAGGATTTAGCAACATTTAAAGAAACTGACGAAAATATTGAAGTGAAAAGGTAACGGCAATTGATCTTGTTCCTAATAACTGTATCTTTCTGAAAGTTATCTGTGATCTTAACTTGCATTTTATTTCGTGCACGCAATTGTTAGTGATGAGTCGCGTAATTTGACAATGCTTTCGGATGATATGAGACGAGAGATGCTGCGTAAAAAATGGGAGAAAGAAGAAGAAGAAGCCGCAAGAAGACCAATGGGTCCAGTTCACTATGAAAACGTAAAATTTGACGGTTTGTAGATTAATTTTATATATCTTACTGCTTGCTTAGTAAATTTCCGTATTATTGATACTATATAAGGATTGGCCACACGTTACATTACATTATCAGTATATTTGTCACCATTCGTTGCCTGCATGCTAAGATTCATCATTTATTGAGATAGAGGTACGAGAAATGGGTATTGGACACTTTAAATTTGCAACTGATGAATCCAAGCGTCAAGAACAATTTCAACAATTAAACAATTTAAGAGAACAGGTAGTCCATTATTAAACCATTTATTTTAAAAATTCAGGTATTTTAAATAACTGATTGATCAAATAGACATTAGATCAACGTACTAAACGTCAACATCTGAAAGAAAAAAGGAAAGCAGCTTTGGATGCAAGACTAGCAAAGGTTAAATTGAGGAAAGGAATCTCGGATGCGTTTGATGAAGAAGTAAGCAAAGACAATGATAGTGATGACAGTAAAAAGATGCAAGATGAAGAAACTGCAGCTACTATATCCCCTGCTGTACGTGTTGAATTACATGATAACCGTAAAAGTATGGAACAGCAAAGTGAATTGCAGAATGATACTAAAACTGATACGTCTAAAAAAGGTGTAGTGAAATATTTTTAGTTATTGAGGTTGTACTCCCAATTTCATTCTAGTCACAATCAATGATGTTAGCATTTTAAAGTTTAATCTTTATTCCGTTTACTCGTTCGATTTCTTAGTAAAGAAATATGATCCATCTCAGGAGCGACTTGCAGAATTTGCGCCGCCTGCTGAATATTTTGAAAATTCACCGGTCAATCAGCGTAGACATCAGCAGAGCTTCAAAAAACCGTCATTTGCGTTCAATAGTTATAACCATACCTGGAATTGGCAACCATACCCATCGGTCATTGGTGCACCACCACCAATACCTCCAACTGATACTGGATTTCAATATAAATGCCATGATACCGATCTTAATCGAAGCAACCTTGATCCCAGGACTTCAAAGCAAAGAGCTTATACCGTTCCCGTAACATCTGTCGAAACAAGCAATGCGGATAACTATTCTACGACTACAATTAACGAGAAGGATATTCAAAATCTGATATCATTTTATAGGAACAGTACCGATTAATGCTGACTTGCTCATATGTAAATTTCAAACAACTGATATTGATACGGTTTTAATTCTAAAGCTATTGTATATAGATTGTAAAGAGTACAGCCCTAGAAAACTAATGATAATTAAAGTATTCCAAGTTATTATAATGTTAACCTTCTCCACTTGGTTCATGTTTTTGACCTGAATTTATACAAAGAGTTGAAAAATTAATTATTTAATAATTGGACTAAAACGCAATGTAATTGTGTAGTAGCTTTTCTATAAGTTATTGGTTGTCTAGTAGATTCATTGTGCACCGTATAAAATATTAAATGACGAAATAAAATTCTTTATTACAAAAATTGTGAAGTCGTTACACTGCTGATATAAAACGGCAAGTTTAGTTACCTATTCATCATTTTTATCAAGAGAATTTAAAATAAGAAGGTATTATCCAACCATTGCATCACGTCATGTTTGGCGATTTCCGATCAGTTTACTTATGGAGTTCAGCAGATGTTGTAGATTGGTTGAAAGGTGAGTTTGGAAACGATAGTTAAAATTATTTCTTAATTAACGCTAAATACAATCTTCTGTTGACTTGGATAATATGAAGACCGCGAGAATCATAACTTGCAGTTCTAAATTCTATGGTGTGTAATTGTCATCAGTAAGATTTAAAAGTTTAATTATAGTTCACTATATTAGATATATAAGTAATGAAAGGTTAGAGCTTTAAGCTGTTCAGTGCAGCGGTGGTAATTTAAAATTACCCAAAAGAAGATGTAACTAACTAGAATCCAATCGGCTGAAACTGTCATAACTTCTGAGGTCTTGCGATTATGCTTGACATAAATAAGATCTGAAGTTATGTCATACTTTTTAGCAATGCGATGATGCTCAGAACCAGACAAAATTAGAAAACAGATCCCGGTCTTAGCCTTATAACAGTACGGTATGAGAGCATACTGCTGTAGTCGATCTTATTCCTTGGTATCATTTGCAGTCATTCCGTAATTTAATTAAATAGGAATTAATTTTTATTACATATTTTATGGCCTTGTATTATTATTATAGTGACGGTCTAGAATTAATTCCATTTCCTTACTTTTCGCCTACAGCGCCTACTGTACCTATTAGTCCTATCACTATTTATACATTTTGCGAGGTCAATCAGGATCTATAAAATAAATTGGACTGACCGTCATGTCATACTTTTCCTTTAGTTTCGCTTTGATCGTAGCAATCATCGTGATATCTTGCATACTCAATTAACTAACTAGAATATTAATGCTATGCTTTTAAAATTACTAGAATAGCGATAGAATCGTCCTTAAATCCTAACGTAATATCTACGAATCGATTATTTAATTGAACATAAATTTGTTACATTTGCTTCGGCTGCGCATGCACATCCTTTGAAGATGACAATCTAAAATTCTGCTATATTCCAAAATGGAAAGATGACTGATATGAAGATTTTGGAAAATGACAGCAATAACGATAAATTTTTATTTATTCATAGAAACTCTACCCAAGGTTTCATTGTTCAATAGATTTCATACGGTATAGAATAGTAATAGTAATACCATTGGAGACAGATTAATCATGCATTATTTATCAATATTGTCGATATTATAGTTTATTTAGTTAGCATTTGTCTTCGTTTCTTTCACGATAGGTAAACAGCTATGACAAGGGTAGCTAAGGGAAATAAATGCTACACATTATAACCTTTGTTCTATACCACATAGAGAACATAGAATATTATTCCAGATAAAAAATTGATAATTTATGGTCCTTACATCGTATAGCACGATTATAGTAAAGATTGCTGAAGGAAATGTAATTAATGGTATAATCGTACTTCTGGTTATTCATATGACTCTAAAATATCTATGTGCATAACGATATTAACGTATCTTAATTTGTTATCCGTTTTCGTGATAGCTATGGCAAAGACCGAGCGAAAAACATAGGCGTTTCATACTGTTCAATATTTCTATGAAATTTACAGCATTACTACATATGACCATATCCATGCATCATGACCTTTACTGTTATAGTTTAGTTTATCTGCTTTGACAATCTTTACTGTAAACGTCAAATTGCCTAAAATTGAATAAATTTAAATTGTTTCCGATAAACTATATTACTTCATAATAGCCTATGTCTCCCTGGAAGCCGATTAAGTAGAAAAAATCGAGTGCGGTCTTTCATTTTATTACAATTTAACACAATTATTTAATTATGCTTATTAAATAGGGCTGATTGAATTTGTTTAGGAGTTTCAGATTAAAATTGTATGAACCTTGATCGGATTTTTACAATTAAACTATCATTGGTATAATCATAGCCAAACCCGTAGAACATTCATATTCTAATAGTTTCATGCTAACAAATGGATATAAGACTTGAATTTTAACAAGTAGTTAGAGGACAGTATTATTATATTGTAAACTAAAAGTACAATTAGAGTAACAGAAATCTTGACACTATCAATTTTATAAATATGTTCCAATTAAAATGAAACAGAAAAAAATCGTCCACTCATCCATATAAACTTGTTATCAGTACAGTAGTTTATAAATATTTAAAAGAGCTTTTATAACTGTAAAAATGCTATTTCATTGTGCGATTTATGCATACCGTATGCATGCCAATTTATTCATTTGATATCTAATTCCGAAATAGAAAAGGCAATTCATTGTCTTCCATGTTATTGCGCAACGGACAAAATGATGATAAAAGATTTGATATATCGAGAAAGAATAACATACAATAATACCGTTAAATGTTTCCTTAATCATTCTAGCCTTACTAATTTTCTTCAATAATCGCACCGTCAATAATACAAATGAATGATAAATGATATTCTAGAGTGCAAGCTCGGAGTGTTTGGCCATATTCTGCTATTAATTTATCAGCAGTTTTTCTTAATGTTTTTATCTTATTTTGCTAGGCATCGATGATACTGAAAACGTATCATCCTTCTTGGCTTGCTTTCAAGATGATATTGATGGAGAACGATTACTTGAATTAAATCATCATGACCTTATTAACATGCAAGTAAGTTGATCCAAGTCAATATCATTTCAATCATATAAAGCACATAATCTCTAGTTGCAAACGATAATGCAAGCTGTAACAGTTTGAATAACCTATGGCCTAATCGCTCGCATAATATCTTACTTACGGAATGTCAACACAAAATTAGCTCTACCTGCTTGTAGTTTTACTAGTTTCTTAATATTAACTATTAGAGACCTAGAAATATTATACGATATCGGTATAATTGTAGGAAAATCTATTCTGATATATTTTTAGTTTGTTATTCTGAATTACAATTTTTAGATTTTCAGTTGCAATAATTAATAGGTGAAGCAGTTTTGTTTTAAATCTACATCTTGATATTAAGAATTATTAACTTTTTAACATTATAATAAACAATAACTTAAAATCAATGGACATACTAGTACGTGTCTGGAAATAACGATGAGCATTCTGTAACATATATCAACAAAACATATACGTACACTTGCGTTATTGGTTTTGTCACGATATTTTCATTTATAGATCGAAAGCTTCAATCATCGTCTTACGATATTAAAATCAATTCTTTCATTAAGCATCCTGGTAAGTTTATACCTTCTTCTTGTAGTTACTTTATATCTTGCAAATCATATGCAAGATGATTATGCTCTGCATTTAACGTATATCAGAGTCAGTCTTTATATTACTTAACTTTAGAGTACAGTAGTTAATGATGTTGCTAGATCGATATTTATTACCACATATCAATTGAACATATAAACGTTTTAAGATTATTCGGTGTACTAATTATATTATTAAATGACAATAGTCCCTCATAAGCGTTCATGTTGTTCTTAGCTATTTTGATACAGTCTTCAACATTACTAATAGCTATAATATGTGTATTTCCTTTTTTCGAATTCAATGATACCGTAGCAATCAACGCTACAAAATCAGACTGCACTGTTTGCAGCCCGTAAATTAAATAGATTGACTTTGGCGCCTCGAACTTCAGCACTGCACTTTTTGAAGCTAACTAAAGCTTCTCGACAATTAGCCTTTATTTTAAACAGGTAAATCAATGATGAATTTCACAGTACGAGCTTAGGACGACATACTTGCTTATTCTATAGTATTGCGTTAAAAATAATATCTCTATGAAGAATTTTATCGTAGCTTGTATTAAAATCTTGAGAAATTTATTATTCTGAGAGAATTACAGGTATTCTATAAACTGAAAAATTAAAAGTAGTCAAATCTAACCCCTATTTATTGCTCATATAGTCCACCATTTTCTACATTACGAGGTTACCATGGACTGAATAGACTAGCTAAGAGGTTCGCAGATGAATTGGTTTGGTGTACAAATAGTTCGGTAATTATTGGTATAACATAAAATTAAGCAATCAATCGATAAAGCCATAGCCCTATTACGGTTGGCAAATTCGCATTCCCCTGCAAAAAATTTATAATTTCTTAATCGTTAACTTAAAAGAAGGCCATAATGGCGTTTAACAGAACATTAAAATTATGTTTTTAGACCAGCAACACAATTTCAAAATCGAAATTTCAAGAATTCGTAAGTCCTTATAGCAGAAGTAAATCTATACCTATATTCAATATTAATTGAATTAGAATATTTACAATATTAATTAAATATCATAGTACACTGTGTACCGGATAGTAAATCTTGATGCTATTTTCATCGCTTGCATTTCTATTGTATTTAGTGTCAGGAAGCCAGTACTATTTGCAATAAAATTATGGATGAAACGAAGGACTACTCATTATTAACTTATCCTACCAATTTAAAACGAGCTATTATAAACAAAAATGATGATATTTTGGTAAAGAATACATGGATTGTATGACATAAATGATAAATACTGTACTTTTATAATGGTATATTCCGGTCATGAAATAATATTAGATTAATATTTGTGAGGACGTCACATGATCATTGTTTCTTAAAACCATAAGTCATGATATACTCATATAATACTTAGGGGGTAAAGCTTGTTCCAAGTATCTCCGGAACCTTTATAATTGAGAGCATTAAACCTGATGTGAGTAAACTAATTTTTTAAAGAATTAAACGTTATGTGCACGTACTTTTATTTGCTTCTAGAAACATAAAATTATGAATTTATCTAACAAAGCGCTTAATTTTACTAAAAGTCCCCAGCATATAACAGCGAATTGGAAGAAGGTGATGAAGTATTTCAAATTAATGAACAAAATGTGGTAAGATTCTTTACTATGTAACTTAAACATGTAATCTGAATTTGAAACCTGATTGTCACTAGCTTGAGTGCGAACTACTATCCTAAATTAATAGATTACTTATTACAAACTCCACTAAACCTGGAGGTCTACTGTGTGGTAGTCCTATACTACTTACGGTCACACAGGGATAAGATTGTTCTAATAGATTAGCATAGTTTTATTAATAGAGTAATCGAGTGCCTTCCAGCACTCCATCTAATTATGAACTAAGGAGCCGAGTATTCGCTCGTCCTTTTATACCCTACCATGAAACTTGTGGTGCACTTTTAGTAATTTGGCATCGTAACATTTGTGTGATTTAAATGTGACTCTAAATGGTGCCAAGAATAATTAATTATTAGAGACATAGCATACTTTTTGCTATAATATTAGCAATTAATTTCTTCTGCAATGCACTGGATACGGCAACATAGTAATGGGATGCGGTAACCAGTTTACATGCGTGCCTGTTTTAGCTAGTACAAGTTTAAAGATTTATCTATTTTAAAAACTGATAGGAAAATGTATAACGAGAAGCCACTATAATAATTTCACTTTTAAATTTATTTACATCTTACTTATGAATAAACAAACTTGTCGTTTTATTAGGCGGGCTGGCAAGAAGTAAACGTAGTCAAATTAATTAAATCATATCCTGTTCTTAAAGTATATGTAATTCAAAAGCAATCGCTCATCAACGACAAAGCACTACCTGAAAATTGTAATCTTCGAACATCAATCTCTCATTCACAATTGCAAGATGCTGTTAAAATCAAGAAAGACGTTATAAGTAAATGTGCTTCTCAAGATAATTTAGCACATTTATCCAATGGAGAAGATAATTATGGTAATACTGTATAGTAATTAACATTGCATTGGATTTTGAATAAAATTGTAAAATGGGACATGATAGTTCTCATTTTAAAACCAGAAATTATACTATGTATTTATCGAAATTATTTTATTACATATATTTATTGTCCTAAGAATGCCTGGGTATGACCCATTTTAAGTTCTTTGATTATATAAATGTATGCCTTTATGTTTTACCTATTAGCCGATCAATTTGGCAATAATCCTAGAATTAGACGCCAAATGTCCTTGGGTGCTGCTGTTGAAGGATTAAGCATGGATCGTTACTCATCTCCAGAACGGGGTATAGTTTCATTCTGGCTTAGGTATTGCAATTATTTGAATATACAATGACTAAAACACGCTGGGATGTTACGTTTGTTTATATAGAATTGCGGAAGAGATCTTTAATAATAGCCGAGCAAAAGAGCCTTGATATGGACGACTACGAATTTGCAGGTATTGAAAGGTTTAATTACTTACTAATAAGTTTTAATTTTTTACCTTCTGAAATTGTCGAAATTTAACTATAGTTTAAACGTATTGATTCCTAATTGTTTAGCGATTTTGCATGCTAATAAAATTTACTAGTTTAATTTATCTTACGGTATTGAAAGGCTGTCTATACTCGTATAGTGATTAATTATGCACTTAGAAGATTTTTTGATATTATTAAAGTTTAGTTAATACCCAAGATGCTATCAATGATATTACAGCTTAATTGAAAATGAAAAAGAGAAAATTTTATTATAGACATAATTGATGATTGTCGTTCATTTTGGCAGATGTTGTTGAAAGTCCGCCATTAATCGGAATGGATCACAAAGTTAGCTATAAATAGCATAGCTCTAAAATATTTTTCTCAGACACGATGAATCTCTAAATATCAATTTTTTGATTTAGGAATTTGCGTCAATTGGAGAAAAAAGTAAGTGAGAATATCGCTATCATCAATTCATAAGCACCTTTTATTGTCATAAAACCTACCGATTGCTACTTGTCTTCTATAGATTCATCAGTTCCCGTAAGGAGTAATAGCTCACCTGGTAAAAACCGCAAGGGTTTTACTGGGATTAAGCAAAGGGTAAACTCAATTTTCGACACCATTTCACAATATTAATTAATTGTCAGAAAAATTATAAATTATCATTCGAGGTGAATAATGTTTTGTATTCACCATCCATAACTCTTTTTGAGCAGATCAAGAAGCGTTTTAGCAACCAGTCTCTATGGGGTAATGTCTATGTTTATATTCTAGTAATCGGACTATGTTCTGTCATTTGCAATTTTTAATTCATGTAAATGCTAAAAAATCATTATCTCATTAAATCATAATTTTTAATAGATTGGGGAGGACAATCTTCCGGTGTAAGTAAACGATAATTCAGCTTTAAGTTATTATTAATTTGATAGGTTCTGATGATTGCAAAAATGGAAATATTATACTACTTCACTTATAACCAATGTTTAGCTAATCCCTATGATCTATTCTACAGACTGGACATAGGAGAGATAGTGCTGTATTTGGTAAGTTTATTATAGTTCAGCCGTAAATTTCTAAGATCAGATGGTATTTTATTTCGCTTCATGAATTTTGCGTATATTTAGGCCGTCGAAATAAAGATCGTAGCTTTTCAGCTATTTCCGAGAATGTAAGTTACAGCTAATCAGTGACTTAATATTTGAAAAGCTATTTTTAAAATTATAAAATACAAATAATTCTTACAGAAACTTGTTTTAAGATTTCATTCTGCAAATAATAAGATACGTATAATAAAGAGACTGTTACATGATATTATTCGCATCACATTCACGACGGAATTTTCTTTCTATAACAATTTGTAACAGGATATTTTCCAATAGAGAATGTTTCGATAGTACATAATTTAAATATTATTTTGCTTATACAGGAATTACTGCATAAAGTGAACAAGTACCGAGGAGGTGATTATAGTTATAATTGCGATTAGTAAGCGATATTGCATAGAAGCATTTACATGATGTAGTAGCTTAAAATGCCAAGATGTCATGCCAATCAGTACACCCTGCTCTTTAATGGTCATGAAAGTAAATTATATTGACGTGTGTATTATAGAATAATTTCATATTCGATTTGAGATGTACTTGTGGGCCAGTAACATTCACCGTCCTCCTAAGTGTAATTTTAAAGGATAACGATCATTGATGTATTTGTAATCCTTATTTTAGGAATAGTTAGACTGAAATAGTAATTACGAACTTGTTTAACCGAAGCATCTTAATTGATCTGAATAGTGTTAGGAATTGAAAGCATAGCTTCTAAGTTTGCATGAGCTATTCTAATATGATAGCACCAGTTTTTGTTGAACTGTGCTCTAGAGTTAATTAATTTACTAATACGTATAATAAATTCAACAGAATCAGGCTGCAGTTATGTCAGTAATTATAGACTTTCTAATTTGCCTTTACTTGATTAATGGCTAAATATGTTAAAAATTGCAAGTATAGTTTCTAGGTTTAGATAAATTCTTCTGGTATGATAACCTTAACATATGTTTGTTAAATTGCAATCTGGAGTTAATTCATTCAGTTATCTTATAAATTGGAAAGGATTAGACTAGTTTAGTTAATAATAATGAATTTTCTAATATGCATTTATTTAATCAATTGTCAAGATGAAGTAATTCTCATAGCTAAATCTGTTTTAAGCTCTAAAATCTATTCAAGTTATGATTCTTCAGTTAGTAGAGTAGGCTAAGAATTTCCGGGCCTTACTATGTCTTTACCCAATGAAATCTAACATTGGGATACCGTTTGATTGACATTCCAGTTCTTTGTCATGTAGGACAAAGAAATTACTTTCTCATCTTGGTTGCAAATTAGGAATACTTCTAGCTTGAAACACTTTTATACAATATTAATACTTGATGAGGTGGTTTAATCACAAATACGAAAGGCAACTATGCTACCAATTCGTAATTATGTTGTTCATGATTATAACTTTCTACGAAATGGTAGGTCGAAGTGATTTAGCTGGATTTCTGTGGATTAAGCCCACAAGACCAGGTAATTCGACAACGATTTTGCCATTATTCATATTGTATGTTACGAACTTAGCCAACATATTAGATTCCTTGAATAATTTTCAGGTTCTAATTTATCGAAGCAATGGTGTCGATGCTGGTTTCGATTACTAGATACTAATTTATACATATATAAGAAGAATGAGGTGCGAACTCTTCATGAAATGTCCTCGGATATAATTGTTCTTTTAAATATAGCCCAAGCTAACGTACAGATTCTAAATGCAGTTTTGACTTTAATAATATCGCAAATATAGTGCCAATTTTATGCTATCTTTAATTTAGATTGAATTACTGGAGAAAATTTCTCTTATCGACTACATTGTACTTCCATCTGGCGTAAAGCGGCAGTCAGTATATTTCTTTCGTGCTTGCTTTTACTACGATATTCTGGGTTTAAGATCAGACAACCCATGTCGTTTGCAATATTTAGTGCCTTTCAAATTTGCACCAAGGACCATACAGCTATCTGTTATTTAAACGCAGATAATCGAGAAGAAATGACTAAGTATGATATTGAACGATTATAATATACGGTACTTAAAATGATTTCGAAACACCTTTGTAAAGTTTCTTATTACTAATTTGTGTAGATGGATGGCAGTATTAAATCAAGCAGTTACAGATAATAATTGTAAGTTTAATACTACATTTCAAAAAATGAATTTTTCAATTTTATGGATAAGTCTCATGTATCTTGTTCTCAGACGCAATCAATGACGATACTAAGGAATTAGATATTCCAATTGAAGATGCAGACCATGAATCAGATTCAGCCGGATCTCATGATGCTAACTCTAGTGATGAATCTACAGAACTAACGATAAAAACACCAATAGCACTAGTATCGAAAGAAGATAACCCCTCTGAGAACAAATTGGATTCAAATATTAAAGAATTTACTTATTAAATATGTCCATTATGATATAATCATATGGCGAACGAGGATTATTATATCGTAATTTTTTGCTAACCTTAATTACATTTTATCTTGTATACGCAGATACAAAATCATTTAAAAAGTAAATTTAATTTTAAAATTAAGGGCTTATGATACTTAAAGAAACCTCTTTAATCTATTCAAAAAAATTATTACAGTAAATGGTAGATCAACGAAAATTTTTCATAAATATTTAAAATTACAATATTTAACTTAAACAATCCCCGCCCGGCTGAGAATAAAACTACTTTGCTGTAATGACCGAGTAATAGCCTCCTGCTATTACAGTCTTCTATAAAAATAGTACAAGTGCGCCATCTCATCATGTTAGCCACTTACTGTACTACTACAATTAGCTGGAATCAATACATTTGCTAAACTTCCTTATCTGTTTTAAGAATATAAGAGATAATCTTAGCTTCTTGAAGATTTCCATAAAACACTTGATGCATATTTCATTTAAGAGAACTATAGAATTATGATTAAGCTATTGGAATTAATGCTGATAAATTGAGTGTAATATTGTTATGAAAGGGTATCGGACCATACAATATTAATAAATAAATATAAAAAAGTTTTTATTTTGTGCTGTGAAACTTTAGTTTCATGAATAAGTAAGTTGTAATCACAGAACTAGCATCAGTTAGATAGTGGTAAATAATATTTATAAGATTAACACATTCGAATGTGTTAGTAAATAGACGAAAATCACTCAATGTTTGTAACAATGCAACTAATGCTTAATGTATGGCAGTATAGCAGACTTAATGGCTTCAAACATGTAATTAACGCATTGCTTTACTTTAATTTTACAAATTAATAGTGTTTTTCTTTTTATTACAGTAACATAGCATATTAAACCTGAGGATTTAAATTTAGGACTTTATGGCAATTTATTAAGCTAATAATGACACCCTATTAGTATTGTCTTACGAAGTGCTAATTTGAGCGAAATATTTTTTTTGTGACTTGCGAAAAATTCACTTATATCCAAATGTATTAAGCAAAGTTCACTTGACTTTTTGGTTAAAAAAAATAACACCTTCACGTGGGATGCACATATTTATTCATAAATGATATGTACATGTCTGTATGATCTGTGGTTTGTACATATTTAACATAAGAACTGTTTATTATACGAAATACCGAACGTATATGCCTTTCTACGGTATCTAAAAGTCCCAATTAGCACTAGCCACTGTAATTTATTTAGAAAATTTATACCTAAATGCTTTTATTAGATACAATAATATTTGAAGACGTTTTAATTTAACTTGTATTTTTCTTGTTCTAACGACTGAATTTTGACACACGAAACTGTATCATGGTACTACATCTGCTCTATCAGAATTTTTACTCCAACAGATAAGGCTTAAACGCTTCCTAGCCTGTATTAAGCATAGATTCTATAACTATTGGATACAGCAGATACATTTTAATTAGTATACTGGTCTTTATTGACTTTTATTAATTGAAATACAGCATAAATCAGTGTCACAAAACAGCTTTACAACAAGATAACGTAATGTATGATCAATAAGTCAATTCCTTGAACCACGTATCAAGGAACGATATCTGCACTATCAGAAACACTTTTGATCTACCAGCTGTCTACACAAAGACTTAAACGCCTCGTATTTTACGTTAAACACTAAGTTTGAGAATCCTCTTTATTACACGATATATTGCATTTATATACTCTTCCTCAATAATTCATGAGTCATAGTTAGTACGACTAACTTTGTAATCATTTACTAAATTAGATATTAATTATAGCTACTGCTTCCTTAATGCAGACAACAGTATTTACGAACATAGACATCTTATGACTAATACAGAATAGTCAGATTACGATATGTCCTATCACGGAACATTTCCACGATAATTTACAATCTACCATAAGTAAGTTACAATCGCAATGATTCGAATTGTAAGTATATAATTTGCTTTCCCTATTATAACTATTAATTTCAGTATGTGTATATGTATCACCGTCATAAAAAGTCAGTGCTATATTAAAACACGGTATATCCAAATTAGGAGTTAACTAAATAAGGATAGGCTAACAGAATTATCCTAACATAGATATTTCTACTCTAGTACAGTATATAACACTGCCACAATCAGTCATAATAAAAAAAAATCACCGCTATAGTATAATTACGAGTACAATTATATATCAAGTAGATTCAGCTCTATATCATATTTAATTACTGGCACAAGCTATACTTATTTTAGTATTGGGTAAAGATACAAGAATATTCCTGATATTTCCGGGATCTATAAACATTTTAGCATAGCAAATTCTGTATCCATAGTGCTCCGATGTAATCTTTATTAAAGCTTTTAAATTAATAGTAATATAATACAGCTTGAAAATCTATGATAAAGGAACGTCAGTAAGGCATAATTAATAAATTAAAGTTGTTTCACATAGTTATTGTAAGAATTGACATAGATTTAATATTAGGGTGTGATATTGATAAAATTTTCAGTCAAGAAGAGAATGTCTGAAGATTTGCCTACGATAGTGCTGAAGACTATTAGTTTTTAAGCTTTACAAAAGCCTTATAGTGCAATTATTGATAGCCATTAGACTTGTGTGATGCAAAATGGAAATGATGGTACAATTTACTGCAAATTAAGGCTGTATCAATTTCCTTAAATTAAGAAAAGTTTGCTACAGCAAGCAATTTTTGATGTAGTAATAAGGTTTATCTTCTACTTAGTTAGATAACATTATTACAGTTATGACAAGGAATAAATAAGGTAATCGTAATCTACTACATCACGAAATTTTGCTTGATAACAAATTGAAATAATTACTGTTAATATTTTATGGTCCATTGTAGTTGTAAAACTTAAGTATATATTTATATAGTAATAATTCTAAATTTGCTAAATGATAATTGCTACATCTATGTAAAGAAGCGGGGACAGTTTATAATTGAAGCACAAACGTTATTTCTTTATGATTAAAATTTGATAGCACTTAAACGTGAATATTTTGAAATAGAATTGATTACGTAGGTTGGAATAGTATAATTCTAGGAATCCTTCAATCGCAGATTATATAGGTATCAATTAATAAAACTTCCCTCAGGCATCTAGAATAAATGCGAAAGCAGAGTAGTGTCTAAGTCGCTGAAAAGGTTGAAGATCATTTTATATTATATTGTTAGATTAATCTTTCCTTATGATAAGATTAAACACTAAACTTAAAGAACTGTATAACGTAACGATTATGATGAAATTCCGCATCTTGCTGCATTACAGAAGATGATAAGCTATTTTAACCTTATTTTAAATTCTATTACATTTGATTATTATTTCACACTCAGGTTAATTAATTTCTCGATCACATTAATGGGCCTAACATTAACATGCTTTAAGATTTTCTCGCTAGCGAAAATCTTAAGTTATATAAGTGCAAATAACATAAAATAGTTAAAATATTATATTTATTGTTCCTTTCACCATTAGTAATTTTATTTCTTTCTCGCTGTTGTGACACCTGTTCTAATGTTATGTCGAGGAACTTCGGTTGTATTTATTGTCAATTCTTTTTTTGATTATATGTTATTACATCCCTTTTACGTCACTGATCAGTTCCGTAAATAGCCATTAAAGATGTACAAGCATTTTTATGCGTATTTGGTAGAAGTGATAATTCAAACCAATACCAAGTCCAGTACAGAAATAAGGCAAAATTGAAATAAATAAGCATAAGAAAAAATTGCATGTTACATCTTAATGAATGTTAGTAATAGAAGATGGATCATTGCGCCTAGGGGTAATATGATGCAATCCATGCTTAACAGTTTGACCGCTAATATTAGTAAGCGTATCGGAATATCCAAATTCGACTTCTTTAAATATGCCTTGTCCTACTGGTGTTTGATCTACGATTAAATTAGACGATTGTTTCTCATCTAGTAGTATTACGCTGATACTCTTTCTCGGTGTTACACTATCGCTTCTTGTAGCATGTGACAGATTAAATTCGCGTTGGCGACGAGATATTTCGCTACCTTGTCGTGTTAATTCTGTACTTCTTATATTAGTTATTGCCTGGTGGACGCCACTAGGTACAACTTGACTAAAAGCTTTATTAAATGTAGATAGGTTTGTAATCGTATATAAGTAAGGATTAATAGCAGAATTTATTGGTAATGCAAAAATGATGACAAACTGTAAGACGATGATGTCAATTGTACCAGTAAAAAGAACTTGAATAACTAAGATATAATAAGGCATCCAAGAGGCTAAATCAGTAATAATGATTAAAAATAACCGTATGGCAATTTTTCTGTCGCGATTTACAGATCCGATTTTACGAACTGATTTGCTAGATTGACGCATAGAGAAAAACATGCCAAAATATAAAGCGCATGTTAGTATCCAGGCTACCATGGTCAAGAAAGTATAGCACAATATCCAAGTTCTATAGTAAACGTTATTGACATTACTAGGCATGCATATACTGCTATACTTGTAGAGGCGGCTCTCTCCTGGTTTGCCTATGCTGAAGACTACTGGTATGCCAGCAAAAACAATACAGAATAACCAACCGACCAACAGCACATTTCTTGCACTGGAAACTTTTAATCTTTTTGTTGAAAATGGGAAAGTAATACATATAAAGCGATCAATGCTAATAATGATCATCATATATACCGACATTAAACTTGATAATGATACCAGGAATGATGCGGAATAGCAAGGCACACTCGTTAACCATGGTTCTACATACATGGAATAGTATCCACGATAGATTTGATCCGCAATACCAATAATAATCAGGTAGATTGACATAAAGAAATCAGCTAATGCCAGGTTAGTTAGCAAAACAGTAGTAACTGATATGGGTGGATGCTTTTGTTTACTTTGTTGGCAATAATGGAGAAATACTAAAATATTTCCGACAAATGCTGTAATTCCTATTATCCATACAAAATATTGCAGCGTTGGATGAGATAGCATATCATCGCACGTAGACAATGCGTCCTGATCATAAATGGGTGTACAAAATGTGACTTGAGCAGGTACATAACAACATAAATAATCTCGCGTTGACAATCTGATCGTAAAAAATCAAGACAGAAGTTAGTTATTATATAGTATTCAATATATTTTGTTATCATAAACAAATAGTTATTTAAACATTTTCAAACATTTAGTAATACTATTTTTAAAATGTGTTTTCTTATAACTTGTTGATTTGAGTATAGTTACACAGTTTCAATGTAAGAATTAAAAATTAGATAACAATCCTAATATTTTATCAATGGAACTGAATAATTATATTTTTAAATTTGGGAAATTTAGCAATACTATCAGTAAAGTACAATTAATTTTAATATGTTGATTAGAATATAGTTTGTACAGTCTATAAGAGTTAGTTATTATATAACAATCCGTACGTTATATCAATATAAGGAAATAATTATTTTAAAAATTTAGAAAATTCTGCCAACACTGTCAGTAAAATACATATATCTTTTATTTGTTGATTTGAATGTAGCTTACACTGTATCTAATATAGGGGGTCCATAAAATGATCGAGGGTTGAGAGAATTGATTGGATTTTCTTTCAGCGATCTGTAGAATTTTATCATTAGAATAAAGTTTACTCCTTTCTTTACTGAATCCTCTTTATTGCATTTAACATTAAAAATTTCTGTTAGTAATCTTAAAGACTTACATAAATTTTAGTTTAGATGAATATTGAAAGCAACGACTCTGTAATACTTTGATATTATTTTTATTTGCAGACCTGCATAATAGAATGGCATGGTATTTAATGATCGACCACATGTATTTGACTACATAATCTTATTTAGATCATGCTGATATGAATTATATTATAGCAATAATTGTTAGGCTATTAATTTTTATAAACATACAAATATTCGAGGTTAGGCCATGTTCGACCCAAATTTTTCTGGCAAATATCTGCGATATTGTTGTTGTCAATATTTCTAAAGAGATTTTATGTACATTTGATATTATTTAATGAAGAATATAACTTTAGATATCTTCATGAAAAGGATGAAGGGGCTTGATGATAGTTCAAGTCGAAATATTAGCTAAAGCTTTAGATAAACTTTAGGTCACTTACAGAATTCTGAGTTTGTAAAACTGTAATTTCTTGAAATTGGTAAAATATTGAATTCGGTTATTCGATATATACCTGAATTAAAGATTTGAATCATTAATTTTATATCTTTTCGAATAAACTTCTGTTCAATGAAATGTAATATCTTAAGTAATGAGTGTGTGTACCATAATGATATGAATTAGTAAGTATATAGAAAATGATATCTAACGATAAAAAGAACATACAATTCTTGAAGAATATAGTCATGAGAAGAAAAGATTTCTGATGCATCCACCGTTTGTAATTTGTTGTTAGTAATGTTGCTGTAAGAGCAGTATGAAGATCGTTTCTAATTAAGAATGCATTCGTCATAATTCTATGCTACGATAAAATCTAGCTCTGATTCTCTTTACTTAATTTAAAGTAAATTATCGCAATAGCGAAAATTTAAGCTTTGACTATTAGCATCTAAAATTAACAGTTACATTTTTAGAATAAATTCCTTTAAATAGTTGAAAAATCCAGGCGGAATGGAGTGCATATTGTTACCGGCCACATTTCTAATGACGATAAGATTATCAATAGTAATTAACTTTTAAATACCGGTAAGACAATCAAAATTCTTCTGACCGGGCTATATGGAGACAACTTATTAAAGCACTAACATTGAATACTCGTAGCAACGAAAAATTTTCTTAAATGACTGGCACTCCTCATTCAGAATTATTATAGACGAAATTAATCCGGCCATTTCTTCATCATTTAGTTCATTGTAGCCAATATCTCTAAAATCGAAAATTAGCAAATGTAGTATTAGGACTTAAAATTTATATTATATTTACGTTTAAAAATTCAATTTTGGGCATAACACATAGATTATTTTCTATCGGTTAATAAAATATTCCATTTGGACCTACATTGATCTAAGTAAGATATTTTGTCGAAAGTAGCTTGTCTGTAAATGCTTGATGTTATTTCCAGCCAATTTCCTAGAAATGAATATAGTTAGTGTCAAGATTAGATTGCGTAAACGTATCTCCAATATCGATATTTAGTCTACGATAAGTGATTTTTAGCACAATTGTAACTTACAGCTCGAACGGGAATCCACTCAAGCTATCGAGAATAGAATTGCTGATATTGATGCCATTTCGGACTAAGTTGTTAAAATTGAAATCACTATAGAATCATGAAATAAGATAAATTTACTGATGGTTTTTAAAACTAAATACTGCTTAAGAGTAGGCTGCTTGTCAGACAGTTGAATTTATGCAAGACGAAGTGCTATTGGAAACTCCTTTACAGAAAGTTATTACTCGACATACATTTTATTTAACCGTGAGAAAACTGACGCGCAGTTATGGTGAATAAACGATATATTATTTGATGCCAATCGTCTAATAGAAAAAAATGGTTGGATAATATTTAATATGATAACAAATTAATGTAAATTGCATTTCCTGCTTTAAGTGTCAAATTATTTTTCAACGATTTAAACGTCTTTAAATATTAGTAGATAGCTAATTATCACTATTAATAATTACAGTTCATCAAGTTGATTTAGGTTGGTAAAGCTTTCGCAAGAAAGGTTTCCAATTAAGTTTTCACTTAAGGATCTAGACATCAATAAATATCGAATACATTAATCAATCGTTAATATTCTGTAACGTTTTTACACCAATATTGCTACGTAATATTCATATTATGTAAATTACATAATTATCAAACTTGATAATCCGTTGAAACTATTAGTTGGCAATGATGGTATTTGATTATTATCAAGCCAGCTAGAAATTGAAAAGTAACAACGGTTAGTTAACGATAAATCACGTGAAAGAATACACTTTTTAAATATTATTTAAAAAGATTTGCATATATTCGCCATTGCAGATATATATTCATACAAAAAATGGACTTGCAAATTATTTGATAATTAATTTATTTTAACATAGAATAGGGCATATTGAAGTCAGCAAATTTGCTGAATAAGTTAGCTTTCAATAAAAGCGCTATTCCATCAATTATTTTGCATATTTCAAATAAAATGAAATATTTAGGTAGTCAATACTTTATTAAGACTTACAGCTGTTCTAAGTAAGACATGGAGAGGAAAGAGGAGCCTCCAATCGATGTAATTTTATTATTAGATATGTTCCTAAAATTCATTGTAATATGAAGAAAATTACTTCAGAAATCTGGCTCTTTAGCCCTCTAAGGTACATAAATTGTTGGCTTGAAGCTATCCATAGTTGCATGTCAGCAGTTATTTGAGACTGCATACAGTTTAAACTTCTTTAAATAATTAAACGAAGACTGTAATATTTTACTTCGCTATTGTTATAATACAAACAAATAACATTCTTCTCTAGAGCTACTATGAAAACAAACGCCCATATTCGATATTTAAATACTATATTAACTCGCATTCATATTGCTATTGCCGGTATTAATTCAAGTTTACTGTAAAAATTACTTGCCAAAGTCGATTAAAGTCAGCTACTAATCTGTTCTAAGATTTCCACATGTAAAAGTCTAGCTGATAATGGACTACTACCAACTATTTAGTGGTATATACAAAATCAGATCAAATTAGATTTCATCATCCAACTTACAATGTCTGTAAATTCTGAAGATGATTCTTGAATATACCATCAATTGATTGGATTAAATTATATTCCAGTTGCCTAGATTTAAATTAAAAAAGTAGTCCAATTTTTACACTTAGACTAAACTGAGACTAAATTACTCAAAGCACCCTCGCATCAATAATATAATTCATACAGTTTACAAAATGCTGAAAATGTTAATATTGTTAAAACTTTACTTACAAATTAGTTAGAGCAATCAAACCATTAAAAGCTTGAGTTTTAATTAATTCTATACGATTACCAGATAATTTGCTATGAAAATATTTATATACAAGAACAAAGAATAGGAATTAGAATTTCGTTTTCATCAACAGAATTCAGAAAGCCATTTATAAATATTTTGGTCGCAATAATCAGCTTTATGGCAGAAAGTAGTACGTACAGCGATTTTAATTTTGTTAAGGATTTAAACATGTGATTTTCTAATCGTCTGATTTGATTGCAGCTTACATCCCTATATTGGCAGATTACATGTAGAAATTATAGTGGTTACTGAATCCCTTCTACAAAATCTGGGCGACATTATTAAATCTACCAGTCGCATGCTAAATAATGGAGATTGCATAATGTACATAAAATAAATTGCAGTCATTGCTTTCCTTACAGTTCGGTAAGATTTGTTAGATTTTGAAAATATTGTGATTTTAGCTGCTGAATCTTATTCTTGCCCATAATACTAAAAGTGAACCCAACAATTAAGTGGTTTTATTTTATTTGATAATGACCAATTTTCCTTATGTTTATAAATAAGCCTATAATCTAATTAGTCTATTAATGGTAACTCACAGCTTCTCAAGACTGCGTAGATTCTCTGCAAAAGATAAAACTCTGATGTTGTTATTTTGCAGGTCTCTGAAGGAACAGAAAACAGAGTTACCGATAGAATACATGATTACCATATCAAATCCAACTGAAGGAGACGAAATTTTTTGCACTGATAATATAACTGTTAGCATCTCGTATTTGATTACTTACAAAATCTCCAAATTCTGTAGGTTCTGGAATGCCCGTTGATGAATTTGATTTAGTTTATTGCTTTTAATATACCTATGATATATGAGAGATTTTAAATATTTTGAATATATTTAAAAAGGAAATTTAGCATTATGTACTAACCATTTAAAGTAATAATTTCATAGTCAACTTACAATGCTCTTATTTTAGGAAATTCTTGAGTATTTGGGATAATTTGATTATTAATGTCTAAAATTCGATTGTTGCTGAAGTCTCTGTGATTCATAAATTTTAATGGCGAATTTTATAGTAAAATTATACATATATAATGTATAAATATTATTAACTTAAAAAATGATAAAAATTCGTTAAGGCATTCTTGTTAGTGTGGTAGAACTTGTTAGGAGAGTTAGACTTGGTTGCTATCAATCTTAGACTGTCAACAATCTTATTTAAGGTTTTATTGTAGTATTGTAACTGCATTCCAAAATTTAATAAATAATATCAAGGGGATTTTTACATTTGGCCATTGATGAGCATCATGAATGCTCGGCAACAAAATTTACGAAATTGCCGTGACTATTATTTTTTACTGATGCAGCTCGTTATTTTAAATATACAGTAGAACGCGAAATCATGCTGGGAATTCACTATGATATCAGTTAACATATATAACATATTTTATGATCGGCAGATTTGATACGCACATGCTATCAAATAACGACAGATTAAGATTCTTCAATTCGGAGACATGATCAATGCGATTTGCAGAAAGATTTCTAGAATTTTAAATATATATACAATTTTTGCAATTAACAGAAGAAAAATGACCAAAGACCGCCATATTTAACTAAAATTCTCAACATAATTAACAACTTCTTAACTAATTACCAGGAGAATATTTAATACTTACAGCTTTTGAAGATTATTGCCGGATAGTATAATAGATTTACGGATAACGTTATGAGATAGGTCTCTATTTTTATAACCAGTTTTAAAGAAAAAAATTTACTTATTTCAAAACACACTTTTGCAATAGTATAGAAATACAATACGGTAGCTAAAATTTATGAGAGACAAATCCAAAATTAAAATAGCGCCAGAACTTTAGCAAATTATAACTTACAAATGCTGAATTAAGCTGAAGCTAGTATTAATTAACTGGACAGACTTAATTTTATTTTTTGATAGACCTCTAAAAGTAAAATAATTCAGATGATTTAGTCAAGCATGCTATGATAAGAAATGGATTAGAAAATTTTTGCTTTGAAATAAAGAGATTGAATATTATTTTACAGATATTTTTACTGTTTACTTTCAGTTCTTAATTGACAATGAATTTTTACATACTATGATACTAGTGCTTTAGATTACTAGTGATATACTTGAACTACGTCAATAAATCTGTATCAAAAATAAATTTTATAATCGTCTATTTATAATTCGTGGGTATTTAATGCAACCAACACATAATTTATTAGCGGCGCTCCGGTACTAAATATATCTATTGCAACAGAGACAATCCAGTTTCCGTCCAAGCGTCTAAGAATTATTAAAGATTATTTCCGTTACATATACAAAAGTTAACATATAAGCGAAATTGCTACTAATAGCCATATAATGTCTTTACATACATGTCTTGTATTTGAATTAGTCCTTCAAAGGCTGCATGTGCAATATAAGATATTCTGTTAGTTCGTAAAACCCTAACAAAATAAGTAAGCACGTAGTATAACTTAAAATTTGTAATCTTTATTAAATTCTAATAAAACTTTGCTGAAATCAATAATTTAGAGTATAATCAGCGTAATACTTTTAACATGCATTTATCTCTATACGGTCAAGCTTTACAGGTTACTTTTTGGAAAAAAAAGCAAATTGACATACGGAAAATTTAAGTATATATATATAACATATATATATATATATATCGCTTTCTTTATACAAAAATGCATATAGAATACTATCGCTTTGTCCGTTTAGATTTAATGTTCGTAATATGAGTAATGCAAGTACTGTCTTGGTGTTATGTGTAATTGATTGGTATCAAACCTACAACTACCTAAGACATTAATAGATTTTCATAAGCTGATGCTGAAAGCAAAAAAATTATTAAGATCAAGCCTTAGCAGCTAATATATCAATGGCATTTCTTGTATACTATACCCATGATAAACTAATTGATGCATGTATTGTATTACTATGAATGATTATTAATATGGTACAAAAGGTGATAATGAAATTATCCAAGGAATGGTGATTGCCTTTCGATAGTTAAAATTATACCAACATTAGTCAGTAATCGATAGGTTGTGACCAATCAGAATCTGTGGGCTAATTGACGAATAAATATTTACAAAATTATCTGACAAGAATGCTGTACTTACAACTTCTTTAAACTTTTCAAGCCCGAGAAGGAACCATTCAAGACTTTTGATATTTGATTCTCATTTAGCATCCTAAATAAAATATTGCATTTATTTAGTTATCTTAATCAATACGGTTTAGATAAAAGTCTCAATACGGTCCTTACAATAATGTTAAAGCCTTAAGATCTGGTATTTGAAAACCCTGTATATCGCTAATAACATTGTCCGACAGATCTCTGACAGAATAAAATTTCACTGTGAGTATATCGCGAAAATTGATAAATTAAATCGTTCTTAATTGTAATATAGGCCGAATTATTAACAGGCCTTCAATAATGTATTTTTATGATTTTTGAGACTTAAATTGCTATCAACTGAATTAAAATATGTTTATCCTGGAGTAATGACGTAAATTATCATTTATAACTTACAGGCTGGTCAAGCGTGTTAAATTTGCAAAAGTATTGGGATGTATACAACAAAGTTGGTTGGATGATAATGATCTATTTTCGGAGTATATCAATATACATAAACATGTCTATTTCGCTCTTACCATGATATATGGTAATGATTCTTCAGATTGAAAATTTATTAGAATTAAAATATTTCCCAGAATTGAACATATTTGCTTACATTCTAAAAACATTTGGCATTCCAGAAAACTGATATTCAGACAAATGTGTCATATTATTATTTCTTATCATTCTGAAAAAATTAGCCATAAAGATTATAGTTTTGAAATTAGCTTAATAAATTTCAAATTTCTAATATTGGGTTGATCTTTATACAAATTAAAATTTTCAAACTCGAAGACTCGAAACTTACAACGTATCCAAAGCGGTTAATGTATCAAAGGAAGAATTACAAATTCTTGTAAGAAAATTATCATCTAAATACCTAAATAAAAATGGCTGAAGAGTTATCTTTAGGTCTTGATTTGATATCATTATTCGATTGTCCACGAATACCGTAAATGGTCATGATTATTTGAATGCAATACCATAAGACTTACAACTTTTGAAGCTTGGTTAATCCATGAAATGAGTTACTTTGAAGCGATTCGATGAGATTTTGGTATAAATAGCTAAAATAATCAAGAACAAACTCATGAACTCGCTGTATTTATTACTCAGACTGTAGAATTAAGACCGTAAATACACTGCAACTAGTTTATTGTAGTAGATTATGCGACTGTAATCAGCTTTTAAGAATATATGGCTAACATGCTCTTGTAATTCTAGAATTTTTTCGAGATGGACAATAAATATGTTTATTCTTGCGTAATTCAATAAATAACATCGCATTACAGTTCTTTCAAGGCGCTTTCCTGGTTAGTCGATAGTAAGGTATTGGGAAAATATCTTAATCCGGTAGACCCCATATTCCTAATATCAAAGAATAATTCTAGTTAATCAGTGTGACAGTGTTATATACTGTATTAGAGTACAAATGTCTATGTTAAGATAATTTTGTTAGCCTATCCTTATTTAGTTAACTTCTAATTTGGATATACTGAGTTTTTAATACAGCACTGGCTATATGTGACAGATATATGTTATACATATACTGAAATTAATAGCTATATTAGGGAATGCGAATTATCTACTTACGGTTCGAATCATTGTGATTGTAATTTACTTATAGTAGATTGTAAATTATCGTGGAAATGTTCCGCGATAGGACGTATCGTAATCTGACTATTCTGTATGAGTCATTAGATGTCTATGTTGGTAAATACTGTTGTCTGAATTAGGGAGTAGTAGCTAAAATTAATGTCTAATTCAGAGAATGATTCCAAAGAACTATTGAGGAAAAGTATATAAACACGATATATTGTGTAATAGAGTTAATTCTTAAACTTATTGTTTAACGTAAAATACGAGGCATCTAAATCTTTATATAGTCTGCTAGTAGAGCAAAAGTATTCCTGATAGTGCAGATATCGTTCCTTGATACGTGGTTCAAGGAATTGACTAATTATCGTACATTACGTTATCTGGTTACAAAGCTGTTTTGAGACAATCAGTTATATATTTAATTTAATTGGCTAGATGTCTGACATTGGGAGAAAAATGGAGCTAAAAAATCATTTATAATAGCGCTTCATAATGTTAATAGCTAAAGAAATGACGCTAAGAATGAATGATATGGATTATTTTTAATTCAGCCGTAATTTTCTAAAATTGGTGTCTATTGTAGAGATTAGACGAACCGAACCTATGTAATAAATTGAAATGTACTAGAAACTGTAGCTCTTGATTTATTTTGGTTCACTTTATCACAGCGGGCTATGGTAGTGGCTTTGTTATTAGAAACATAGAGACATGAAAATCAATTTGTATTATATGAAAACTTTAGATAACCACAAAACCTTACTAATGTGACTATTAACTTCATATATTTTTCATATTTTTCGAATTATAGTTAAACATGTTTACTTACAAATATTCCATAGCTGAGAAATTTGCAAAAGCCATTTCATCAATAAAGTTTATTATAGAATCTGTTAAATAGCTATAAAAATTGTTGCCATAGACAAAATAAAATTTATAAAATAGTTAATATAGATATATATGTCTCCATAGACCGCATCTATAATTTAAAGAGCTGAAAAAATGGTATATTATTATTTACAATTTGAGAGGTCCAGATGGTGGGGCACTAAAAGGTTTCAGGTGAATAACCAAATTGGGGATATTTTTTAACTCTCTAGAATCATAGATAAGTGAAAAATTCATCCATCCATTAAAAACTAAAATAAATATTAAAGTTTTTACTTACAGATTTTCAAGCGAAGATAGGTCTTTCAAATTCTCCATGGATAGATTGCCAATAGGATTCCCATTTAGGCGCCTAAGTATAGTTGAGGAATTAAAATTGCGATTAGAATTTTTATAAGTTTCACTTTTCAATATATACGCTTGTATTTTTTATAGAATCTGACAATAAAGATCAGTATTATTAAGCATAACATTTATTAAATTTCATATTATCTAGCTCATAAATGATAGAATGTAAGCATAAATGTCGTTCTTTATAAAGCTCATTTTCAGTATGGGCGTAAATATCGGTAATCAAAAATAGTACTACAGTAATTAATTATATTTCAGGGATGTCTATAATACGGTATATTACTATAGCAGTTGATGTGAGGTTTATTTCTTCGAGATTAAGGCGTTCATTGAGGTAATAGCAGATAGAAAGCTAAGAGGATACTGATAAGCTTTTATAACTTTATAATCTCATTCCTTTAATTCTATCTAGATAAATTTACAATTTAGGGTGTCTTTAAGACATCATATTTGAAAAACGTCATTTTCCTTAATAATATAATCTCAATCTATGTTTAATAAATTTCAATTAATGAAATTCTAATAACGACCATGCAAAGTCGTAAAAAGTATCTTATTACCGGAAAAATGATAGCAACTTAATAGTTAGTAATACGTATAATGACTTGTGCACTTTCATATTCAACAACGTACTTCTTTTTACAAAAGAATGAACAAAATAAAAACTGCGCAATTAATTTTTTTGAGATATGTAAGTGAGCAATAACGGTTGCACTGCGATTAATACTTACAATCTTTTTAAATTTGATAATCCTTCAAAAGCTCTGTAGTCGATCTTACTAATATTATTTTCGGATAAATTTCTAAATAAAATATGTATAACTACTATTATGAAGCGGTGATAATAATAATCGATCTAAAATCGATTATCTATTCAACCCATTTGTAAATCTAGCTTACAGATCAATCAGACTTTTCAAATTAGCAAAATCATCTTTTGCCACTTCCTTTAAATTGTTTGAAGTCAAGATTCTGAGAAAAGATGCAACGTGAAAAGTTTATTTTCTACTTCTATTATCAAATTTCTAATTCTTAAAATAAAATTTTACACCCATTCGAAAACAGCATCAGCTACAATCTGAAAGAGAATGCTATAATCTAAGGCAAAAACTAACATGGTTCCCATTCTTGAATTTTCTTTAAATCCATCATTTATGATGCTGTGAATTTGATTATTTCTTGCATAGCTATCCATTAATTATAGCGGAAGAATATATATTATTAGAATTAAGTTTATGATTCTAAGATCAATAATTTACATCTAGTATACTTACAATATTCGCAAACGGGGAAGTCTCTTAAAAAACCTTCCATCCAGTATTTTTAATTTATTGTTACTCATATATCTATTTTGAGCAATTAGATAATGAGAGATTTAGTACAATTAAAAGCATCTTGAATTCTTTCGAAATCATTTACATAAAGGAAAATTTAATAACGTAAAGATACATACAGATTTCTTAATTTATGACCATCACTAAAAGCAGCCACTTCCATTGAGTAAATAGAATTAAAAGCCAAATTTCTATACATTTAGCGATGAAAAAGTCATTATCCTAATTCATATCAATCCCTAACGTAATTAACACATATGAAAGCTTTATGTTTGCTTTCATCTAAACTAGATCTTAACGCACAGTATCTTCAAGGAAGATAAAGAAGCAAATGTTCCATTTCTTAAATAACGAATTCTGTTGCCATCCAACTCTCTATAGTTATTATCGAAATAAGCATAGGCTAGGTATAAATAAATGATTAACTATCATTAAGGTTGTAGCTATATATAATAATTTTTATCTACATCAGATACATTTATATTGCCTCAAGAGTAAAGAGAATACTTACTACCTTTCAATTGAAATTTTATTAAATGCCATGTGCAGTAATACTAAAATGTAGTTCTTTTAACAGCCTCTAACATAACTTAGAATTGGATTTTATATTATTATTAGCCATGTATGGTATGATGTATGGTAGCATAGCTCCCTGCATTTATCGTTAAGCTAGTAATTAGTTATAATATCCTGCTTATGATACTTGGAATACCCTTTTAATGACTTTACGTATAAACGGACCGTTTTATACGCATATATTTAAATACAAACAATTTAAAAATACGGTAGGATATTAACATGGAGATTGTGCCCGTAAGCACTACAGAAAGCAAGCAAGCAGATAAGTTTAAAATATTCGATGAGTTTTTCAAGAAGTCTTTCTAGTAGCAATGTTCCCCTAGAGAAGCGTTATGAGTAGGTTATCTTTGGATAATGATCTGATAAAGTTCTAATTTTCTGCAAATTTTGAAATTTCGAGATGGATTTTATAACATAGCCAATTCGCCTATCTAAATCAACTTTTAGCTATTGATAGTTACCCTAGGCAATTTCAGGAAGGAATGCAAAATAGCATACTGTCTTTGTTAGAATGTTAATTTATAACTGTATAAATCAACCCAAACTAAAAATTCGTCTCATTTTAATAAGGATTTATGGATCTATAGTAAAAATCTAGTATTGTTCTCTGTAGCAATTTTGATTGCTGTAAAAGCTTTAACCTACAATGTGCTCAGTGGAATTTGGCAATTCATATTTTCAGGGTTAATTTCTTGTATAAAATTTGCTGACAAATGCCTACAAAAGGTCACATCAAATAAACCGCCAAAAATTTTTTAATATTTGTAATTTCATAGAAATTCGAAGTTTGATGCCATTATAAATCTGCAAACCACTCACAAATTCTGTAAGAAGCGTGCATCTGAAAAGTCTGAACAGTTGAAGGATTTCAGGCGATTGAACTGCAGGAATCTAAATTAACATTCCAAGGGATTACATTTACAGTAAAACTTAGATTGTTATTCCAATTCGGTATCAATTTACAAAAGATAATTTTATAGATATTCTTACGTTATAAAAACTAAAATTCTATTAAAAATAAGCCTACGATAAGTAAAATGTACTGCCAATTAAGTGTTAAGTTAGATGGTAATAAATGCAAATTTTCATAGTCATAAAATATAATTCTATAGGTTCACACTTATACCTCTCTATGCTTTCTACAATATAACGTTGAAGCTAAAACATTACTTACAATATACGTAAATTAATTAATCCAGCGAGGCCTATATCTTCAGCCGAAGTAAACTGATTGCCTGATATTCGTCTAAAAAATCAATTGGTATTTTTACGTGTTTCATTTAAAATCTACAAATAAATGAATACGCTGTTCCGACAGTATCTAAATATCTTTTTTCAAAATAAAATGGTATTCTAGGTGATATATTAAGACTATTTTATTATTTATATTAATCCATGGCTTTATATGTGCGCTTACAAATTAATGAGACCGCTTAAATGTTTCCAAACAACAGCATCAACACGTTTCAGTCTGTTAAATCTCAAGGACCTAAATTGAAATTAGAAACCATTAAAGATGAGCCTCATAATAATCACAGGCGATTACAATGTTATGTACTGTACTAAATATGTTATCACAAGCATCTATGAAAATGCATCATAAATTTCATACATTGAGCTCAGGAACATTAAACCTTCAAATACATTGGCTGAAAGGGACGTTATCCGATTTTGGCTTAGATCTCTATTCAGTTTTGATGAAATATTTTTCAAAACAAAGTCAGTATATTCGGAAAATATGGCCAAATTTGTGTTACGATAACTTCGAATTAACTAAAATCTAATTGATATCTACTCAATTAGTAATGGAAAAATTAATCTTTGCAATTATAAGATACTAATGCGAAAATTATGAATTAAACTGAAATTAATAACATTTCTTGCGTGACTGAAAATAAGATTAGTTTTACATCCATTATAATAGAAATAAGATTAGGTAATTTTTTCTTCTGCCGTACAAAACTCGCAAATTTTTCAATCCTTTAAAAGCATCATCTTCAATAAAACTGATTTTATTGCTTGACATTGTCCTAAAGAATAAGTCAAAGATAGATAATCGATATTGAGTATTAAGTTCTTGTTTAGGTATTTATCGTTCATGTAACGACTATCGTTAGTCTTAATTATCAAGATTTATATATGGTTCTTTACATAGTGTAATTGTCTTAAAATATATATGTACACTTGAATATTACTGGCTAAATTGGACAATATCAAAGGCTATATAAGCTAAGCCAAAGAGAGCTAGAAAGATCGTAAATTCATAGATTAGATTTAATCTTGTTACTTGTTGGTAATATATCAGCTGTGGTTTAGTTTTGCGTTCAGTAACTCTCTAGTTACTTCTAATATTTTCTAATGAAATAAATTTAATGTAAGCGTGTAGATCTGTCTATAGACAGATCTACACGCTTTGTTAAAACTAGTTATTATGTCTTAATAGTAAGACATGAAAGAATTACATATTCGGTACACAAGTGTCACAATTTCACTTCTGCGACAAGGTAACGTACAGTAAAAGTCTATAAGTAGCTACTGGCTTAAATGCCCTTTTACTTAACGTTAAAGACACACAGCAAAACACTGTAAAGATGAAACTATTATTAGCAAAGATACATCTACAACTTTTTACCACCACTGAACTCAAATGTTCCCGTTCATATAGGAACCGTCTAATTTGTAAACAACAACAGTGTTGGTATTATACCTTACTAGGAGAAACGTCTCGAACTGAGATGTTCCTTACATAGCTTTTCTATCAGTAAATATTTTGAATCTCTTGCTCATACTTAATCTTAATCTAAGCTCGAAGGTTGTCTAATACAACTATCATTAACTAGAACTTGAATCATCTTACTGCTATCTATCACACAATAACAATCAATATCAAATATGTAATGAACTATTACAAACAACATCCACGTTAAGGCATTACTTATCTTACCTAGCACTACAAATATGGATATTCTCCATACTAGCTACTACTGTACTTATTAAACTATCCTAATGACTACGCAACACCATAACAACAAGCTATAGGATATATGTCACTTAATTTTCATAAGTTTACTAATAAAATGTTCGGAAAAGAAACTCATCGTATTTTTAGCTTAAAAAGGAATACTAAACGTATCTTAGCTGATTTTATTTGACAGGATAGGCGTATGTTACAGTGTTATGCACTATGATATCGAAATTATAGTAGAAACATTTATGCTAGGATAATTTTGTTGATTTACCCTTATATGGAGAGTTTCTAATTTAGATGTGTGATATTTAAATATAGCACTAGCTTTTATAGTGATATATACAGACATTACTGAAATTAGTAGTTTAATTAGGGAATCGAGAATAATCTTCTTATAATTCAAATCACTGTGATTGTAATTTACTTATGGTAGATTTTAGATTATTGTAGAAATGTTACGTGATAGGACATATTATAATCTTACAATTTTGTATTAGTCATTCGATGTCTATGTTCACAAATACTGTTATCTTCATTAGGTAGCAGTAGATAAAATTAGTTTTTAATTCATTATCAAGTTTCAACGTTAATATTACTAACTAGGATATCTTTGCCATTGCAAAAGAGTATATAAATGCAAAAAATCGTGTAATAAAGTTAGTTCTTATGCTTAATCTTTAACGTAAGATACGAGGCGTCTAAGTCTTTTTGTAGTCTACTAGTATAGGAAAAGTGTTCCTGAAAGAGTAGATACTGCTCCCTCATACGCGGTTCAGGTTGTTTTGTATCAGTGTCAGGTACGAACTACCGTGAAGAAATAGCTATCTAAATTTGGTGAATATAATATAGTGATAATATATCACAATTAGTTACTTACAATAGGAATTATTCTAATTATAAATTTGTTACAGTAAATGTAATGTTGTACTGTAATGTGCACTGAAATGATTCTGAGAAAGGACATATTGTATTTCCGACTGTGAAAAATTAGTTAGTAGATGTTCTCACTTAAGTATTTTTATAAGATGACTCTTAGTTAGTAGATGTTCTCACCTTAGTATTTTTATAAGATGACTCATGAATGTTAGCTACAGTAGAAGGGTATATAAACCCATCAGATAGTTTAATAAAGTAGTTCTCAATTGTCTAGTTGAGTTTAACGTAGAATCAAAGGCGTCTAAATTCTTGTGAGTAGGGGTACTGAATCCGCAGATTTTTAGAGATTTAGATATTTATTTTACGTTATCCTCGTCACCAAGCTGGTTTGTGACAATCTGTGTATAATTTTCAAAATCAGACAATGAAAGATGTGAGACATTAGCTTACACTTTTGAAAGGTTCGGATATTGAATAAAGCTGTAATTTCTGATAATTTTGATTCCAGTTTCGGTTATTGACCTGATTGAAGTGCAAGGTTAGTGATAATTTAAAGCATTCTCTATAAATTGCTTAAATTGGAAATATCGTATTTCTCAGAAATTCTTATCCCAAATTTTTTAAAATTGAAATGATAGTAATATAATGTTTCTTTAATTGATTTTAATATCATTTAAAATTTAGAATTATTTACCAATATCCTAGATAAGTGTGGTATCGTTAAAAATCGAATAGTATTTAATATTTACATTAATACTAAAAACGGCATCTATCGATGATAGTGACAGTTACCGATCATTTATTGCCGTGACTATTTCAATTCTACTTTTGGCTAAGAGCTTAGAGTTATGAGGTATCTGTAGATTTCCAATTACGTTACACTAGCCTGGTGAAATAATTAACTATAATGTTCATGCTGCAGTAACGCATAAACGTAAGGGATATTTTCAAAAATGTCTATGGTATAGTAACTATTTCAGTATGATTATCTTTCAATCGATATTTCTCATTACTGGTTGTATAATGCAGCCTGTTACCAAACTTCTAAATCTAGATTAAATATATCTTTATTGCTTAATTTCTAAAATAGGCGTGGGCATATGACATCATAATCGTAGAT